AATGGAATTGAATTTCTTGGGTTGAATGTCTGACCATGTCCTAGTTCCAGGAGCACAGGCCAGACCTCCACACTGTTGAGACACTCTCTTTTTGCTTTCTCGCCAAGAATATGTTGTTGAATTCAAGAAAGCTGGGGTGCTGTCTGCTACGTTCCTCGGGCGCTAGAGCGGCCCTCGAGATGTCCCTGTCCTCTGCTCAGGTACAAGTCCTTGTGTCCGGACACCTGGCCGCACTGGCGCGGGCCTCCGGCGGAGGGCGTGGAGCGGCTGATCAAGTACATTGGCTACAAGCCCGAGGAGTACAAACTAGGGAGGTAAGCGGCTGGGAAGCCACGGCAACAGGCTGCGTGTGCGGGGCTGTCTCCATGTGGAGTCTGGAGACTGTTCAGGAATTGATGGACACTTAACAGAGGTTTCCATCCGCTCGGTTTAAATGCGCTGTGGTCTCGCTCTCTCGATACTTCACCGGGCTCAGAGCAGCCCTTCCTGCTGGGTGTGCTGCAGCTGCCCTGCACTCTGAGCGTCTCCCGGGAGGAGCTCAGATCGCACAGGCTGCGTGCGACAGCCCTGGCCCTTCCTTTAGATGCCCGCGGCAAGGCCAGGTGTCCCCGTGCTTCTGCACCGCCGGCCGTGAATCAGAGCTCGCTGTGACCTTCCTTGGGTTCCATTCACTTGCTGGAGTGACTCACAGAACTCAGAGAAACGTCTTACTTTCTAGATTACCAGCTGATTCTAAAAGGGTAGAACTCAGGAGCAGCCGGGGGAGGAGACGCATATGGGAGGGGGCAGTCCCGGCCCTCGCCAGGCCAGCGCCTCTCCCGGCACCTCCCGTGCCACCCGCCCAGATCTGCAAACCACACCCTGGGATTGCGATGAGGCTTCCTCACTTGCTTGATGGAATCTCTGGTCAATGATGACTGTTGAGTCTCCTGTCCCTCTCCCCTTCCCCATGCTCTCCCTTCCCGGGAGGTGGGCGTGGAACTGAAAATTCCAACCTCCCAATCTCAGGGTTGGTTCCCCTGGTAACCAGCCCCCAGCCCTGGGTTACCTGGGGGGCTTTCCGAATATCACATGAGCTTCAATTTAGGACTGAATGGCAACAACCCACTATTGTAACAAAAGACGCCCCTATTTTTCTAATCACTTAGGAGATTACAGGGTTTGGAGAGCTGCAGGAACAGGGCCAAAGACCAAATACATAAATTTATTATTCATCACAGTGTCACGAGCTCTAAGTGGTTAGGAGGGCAGTCCTGGCCCCCTGGAATCGCTGGCTTCCAAAGGCCCGGTGTCCTAACCTTCCTGAGGGCTCCGATGAGCAGCTCTGCCTGCAAAATGAGGGTCCCAGGTGGGTCCCTAACCTCTGGGCCTAGATTCTTCCATTCTTCAGATGAACACTTGACCGCCCAGAGGAGACTGCGGAGTGATGGGATGTGAAAGCTCCCGGCATGCGGGAAGGTTGTGTTCCGGAGCTCCGGGTGTCGCTACATACAGTTGTCATTGTCGTGAACAGAATTTTCATGTGTTGAAAGCTTTGAAGCAGTACTTGGTGGGGTGAAATGGGAAGAGTTTGGTCTGTTAGGCGTTTTGGCCGGAGCTAATTTGGTTGTCAGAAATGGATCCATTCCCCTGCCACAGAGATGCCAGCTTTGGGGATCTCTGCCTTTGAGTCTGTCCCTGGGCTCACTGGGCAGCGCCTGACTCCCACTCGCATGGGCTGTCTGTGGCCACCTTGGCCCCTCTCCGTCCTGACACATCTGATCTGGGCCCTGCTCCAAGCAGCAGTTACAGGAGTCCCCCCTCATCCATGGGGAGTATGTTCCAAGAGCCCCAGTGGATGGCTAATACTGCAGACAGTATACACACATTCCCACACACGTACTTACATATATACACACATTTACATATTTATAGATACATATATATATATTTACACTCGTTTTCATATACAGGTATGATATTAATACACTTTTTAAGTGAGGCCAGGAAGCTAGACGAGTGCCCACACATGTGCAATCTGCAAACTACAAGACCCAGCATGCCTTGCTTCTCTGACAGGAAGTTTCGTTTCTTACCCAGTAGAATGAAGGCCACTCTATACGGGAGCGAGGGTAGGAAGGCAGGCGGGGAGTGCTTGTGTCTCCCCACCAGACTGCAGTTTCCAAACTGCCTTTCTCATTGTTTCCAAATAAACCCATTTTACTTTTGCTTAAGGTCAATATAGTCAAAGCCAGGATAAAGTCTAAATGTTAAATTAGGCACAGTAAGAGATAAAGAATGGCAATGACCAAACAGAGCCATTATAACAATCGACTCTAGTAAGTGATCTGACTGTCTCAAAATACCTTATTGTGTATAACATTTTCAGACTATGGCTGACCCTGTACCTGAAACCACAAAGAGCAAAATTGCAGATAAGGGGGGACTACTGTACTTTTCCCTGAGGGCAGCCAGGCTTAGCACATCCTGAGGTCAGAGGTGGTTTCAGCCCCATTCCCAAACCACACGCGAGGAACTGGGGTCACGTGGCATGATGCACTCCTGCCCCCAGTGGCTTCCCTGGGAAGTCTCCTTCCCTCTGTGGGTGGGGCAGGCAATACAGATCAAGTGACAATTTCTCTCTGCTAGTTGGTGGGATTGTCTTTTAAATTAGACCCACATTCTCTGCCATCATGTTTTAAAGCCCAGGGACCTAACTCCGGATTAGGAGGCCGTATTTCTTTGCTAGGGTGCGTAACAAACGACCACAGACTAGCTGGCTTAAAACAGTGCAGTTTATCCTCTCACAGTCCTGTTGGCTGGATGTCCCAAAGCAAGGTGTAGGCGAGGTCATGCTCCCTCTGAAGGCCACGTGGGTGGCTCCTTCTCACCTCTTCTAGCTTCCAGTAGCTCCTCGCATTCCTTGGCATCTCTCCAGTCTCTGCCTCCCTCTTCCCAGGCCTCCTTTCTTGCCACTGTGTGTTCCTTTCCGTCTCTTGTAAGGACACGCTCATTAAATTTAGGGCACATCCCAATATGGTATGATCTCATCCCGATCTTTGCCTTGATGACCTCTGCCAAAACCCCATCCCCAAATAATATCACATCCTGAGATGTAGATATGAATGTGTGGGGGCTGCAATACTATTCAAATCATTACAGATGCTACCAATTAATAATTACATTTTCCCCATTTTTAGAACCAAAATATTCATTCGCTTCCCCAGAACGCTGTTTGCTACTGAAGATGCCTTTGAATTTAGTAAACATCAATTAGGTATGTTTTTTTTTTCTACCCTCATTGCAACAGAATGTGAAATGAACAAGTTCAGTTTGGAATCCATCTTAAACATGAGTGTTTGATGTCAGAAACATTTGTTTTGAAGACTAGGGGCCAGATGTGGGCTTATGGTGAACTACGCAGGGATTTATGCCATAACGCGTGTGTGGAGAGCATCGTGGATGCCCCTGGGACCTTAAGGTTCTAGTGCTCTCCAAGTTCTGGCTCAGACCCAATTCTGTGGTGTCATACTAGGACCTAAACCTGCAAAAGTCCATCCCTTCTAGGTTTTTAAAACTTTGTGTAAGTAGCTGATGTAGGGAGGTGTAGCTTCGAAGCCTGCAGCCAGGATGATTTTTGTGGATAGTAAATGAGAAAAGTTAGATGAAAGGGTGAAGGGGATGTGAAAAATAAAAACTCAAAACTGTCTCCCTTGACATCTGAACTTCTGTTGAGAGAAACTCTGTCTTGAGTAATGTGCTTGCTACAGGCTGGGTGTGAACTAGGTTCCTGGTGTGATCACACTGCATTTAAAGCAAACCCATGGTGGGATATTCCCTCCATTTTTTATATTCAAGGAAACTGAGGCCAGAGAGGTTGTCTGGCCAAGGGCAGGTGTGGGCTGCAGGGCATCTCGAGCCAGCCCCCAGGGGTATGACACTACTGGTCTTCAGGACCACAGGTGAGCTTAGCCTGTGGTGGGACCTCAGGCGTGGACAGAGGAGAAGCTATAGGGCCAACATGTATGGGTCTGGGAGCCTTGGGTCCTTCTTAGCAGGTACACTTCCTCTTGAGTCTGTGCACCCCTTTGTAAAATGTGCTGATGCCTGCCTTGTGGGGTGTGAGGATGAAGGAGTGCCTAGCATGAATCAGGGGCCAGCAGGTGTTGTGAGGAGAAAAGGAAAAAAGGAAGCTCTAGAAGCTTCTGGGAGGACTTGAGGTAATACACCCATTCTCACTTCTGGTCCCGAGAATGGGCTGCCCTACCCCAGCTGGCTCTACGCCCCACGGGCCACTTCTGACACCCCCCACCCCGCCCCCAAGGTCTCAAACACAGATGCACAAGTGAAAGCCATTTCACCAGTTTTGTTTTATTTTAAGTTGCAAGAATCCAGGCCACATACAAAGGCTGCCTAGAAAGGAGAGCATTCCTGAAAAAAAGACAAGCAGGTAAAATGGAACAAACTTCGTTTCCTGGCCGGGGGTTGAGGGGAGTGTGTGGGAGGCAGGCAGAGTTCTGATTTCCCTCTCATCCTCGGCTCCGCAGCCACAGGCTCTTTGGTGCTTGTTCTCCTGCTGTCCACCCCAAAACCATGTGTGGGGCAGCCTCGGGAAGTTTGGTTCTGGAACCTTGGCCTTTATTTGTTCTGTGGATGTTTTATTTGAAGTACATGGGTATGCTTAATGATTTTTTTAAAAAGGGTTACTAACACTGTATCTTTGGCATCCCCAAGTTGTACCACAAAGCCTAGGTGTGTTACAGGCAACGGCCTCTAGGTTTGTGTAATTACACCCTCCTGTGTGTACAGCAGTGACAGAATCACCTGATGATGCGTTTCTCAGAGCATGTAGCTATCACTAACCAGTGCCTCTGTAGGCTGTCACATTTTGAATTTAGTGAAACTATATTGGTTTTTTTGCAACACTTTTTTATTTATTTTTATTTATTTTTTAATAGAGGCATGTTTTATTTATTTATTTGTTTATTTATACAAGCACTGGGTACAGTCAGAAGCGCGGGAGGGTGAGAGAATTCACCAGAGCCAGAGCGGGAGCAGAGCAGGCAGAAGGACCGAAGTACACTGCTGAGGGGAGCAGCGGGTGGCAGGAGAGGTCTGCGCGCCATGTGGGACCCTCGCCCAGCGGCCGGGGATCAAACTGGCACTGCAGAGGCCGCGTGCAGCTTTGCAACCCAGCGCTCAACCGCTGCGCCACCGGGGAGGCCCTGCAGCACTTTTTTAAACTCAACCAGTAGAGGCCTGTAGATTTGGTTACTCATTTTCACAGCTATATAATATTCTGCTATAGCAAAGATCGGCATACTTAAAGGGTCAGATAGTAACTATTTCAGACTTATGTGTCAGAGCAGCTACTTGCTCTGTCCTTGTAGCATGGAGGTGGCTTTAGGCGAAGATGTAAATGACGGGGCAACATAGCTTTGTTGCAACAAAATTTTATTTCCATGAACAGGCAGTAGCCTGAGGGCCGTAGTTTGCTGACCACTGCACTAGAAAGAGCATCCTGCTGTGTACCCATTCTGTGAGGGGCACTGGGTTGTTTCCAGTTGTTTTTATAATAGCGATAGTGCTGCTATGAAGAATTTTTTAAAATCTGAATGTCTGAAAAACATTAAAAATTGGGAGATAAGCAGCAATCTAATTTTTCCGTGTCCCGGTTTGTGTGTACCAATTTTTAAATGTGGACAACGAAATCAAAGTAAATACTGAGTGAGACAAACCACTCTGCTGCCCAGTCCGTTGCACATCTGAGCATCCCCAGGGGGGCTAAGTGATAACACTCCTCCGACTTTCATCTCTGGGGCTCGTGGAGTGCTGCGGTGGGCACCCGGGGTTGTGACTGGATAAGTAATTCAGAAAAAGTCTTTTGTATTTAAATGATCGCGCTAACCTTCTAATGTCAGCAGTGAACTCTTTCAGCCATCAAACTTGAAGCTCACTGGCGGGGAGCCCTGGCTCGGAAGGAGGCCAAAAGGAGAAAGTGGGCGGTGTGGATTATAAGAAAGTAAGTTTTCGGTACAAGCGTGGGAGAGGTGCCTGTAAACATGGGTGCGTGCAGAGGGCGTTAGTGGTCTTGGCTGAGCTTTTTGGATTTGCACAGCACCTTCCTTCTGGAATGTCAATCCTTAGGAACCCAGTTTCATGTCTCTCCTTTGAGCTCCCTAATTGGATGGTGATCCCCATGCAATGTATTTATTTGTGCTGTCTCTTAGCCTCACTTAAAGGTCAAAAAGTTGATTGCCTTCTGCTGTCAAGCAGGTAAATGAGTGGGGGTAAGACAGTAAGGAATGGCGGGGGCTGCAGCAAGCCAGAAAGCTCAGTTCATCTTGGAGGGGCAGTCAAAAATCTCATTCAGCCGACCGCTGCCGTGGAGAAATGGCAGGTGAGCGTTGCCAGAACTTGATTTTTTTTTTCCCTCCAAGAATAGCTGGAAATCTGGCTCACCTGTCACCCTCCCATTTTTTTTTTTGGTGGTTGTTGGCAAGTAATTCACAATACTAAAAACATAGTGTGAATAACAGAACATATCTGTGGGGCAGATTTGGCTTGTGAGTGTCATCACTGTAGCCCTACGTGGCGATCAAAATAATTTCTACCATTTTGGCTGCCTCAGAATCAAACAAATGGGGGGACGGACACAAGTCTCAGTGAAGAAATGGGCCAGAAAACAAAACAATTTGCTGTTTAGGTTCATAAAGGGATTCATCAATCGCTACAAGCCCTTTTCTCCTGACAATGAGGAGTTTATTATGTTTGCACGGAAGAATTACATCTTGAATCTTCGGTATCACATCCCAAAGAACGTCTTGGACAAGAGCTGGCTGAGGCCTCCTGGCATCCTGGAAAATGTAAGGCCTGAACGGGGCCATGTAGCAAGCAGCTGGGGCACAGACAGAGCTTGACTTAGATTTCTTTGTGCCGCATCCCTGGGCTCGATAGGGCTGCTTTAGCCAAGCATGTCTTTGCAAGGGTGTTGCACAAAAAAATTAATGCTTTAGTGTTCATAATACCCTCAATGGAAGTGAAAGCCAACAGAGGTCTGTTTACAGAGGACTTTGAACAATTTCTGATTTAGTGACTGTTGCCCTGATGACCCTGTGTCATCAGAACAGGGGGGGCTACTCAACCCAGCACACTGAGTCAGCATCTTTGGGGCGCCACAGCCAGCTTCTCAGGGGCCTCAAACACATTTAAGTTTAAGGGCCTCTAGTTTAGCAGCAGTAAAAAGCGAATGCAAAGTGAGGAGGTTAGCCGCTTCTCTTTCACTATAAAATACTAACACTGTATTTAAGTTGAACTGAATTCGGCTGCATTATGAGCTTCTATTTTGGGGACCACAGTCTAGGAAAGGGTGTGAGTGAGGCAGATGGAAAAGGGGTGTGTTCTCCACACAGGCATCAAATCTGCTCAGGAAAATGTGCACGAGGAACCTGGTTCGGAAGTACTGCCACGGGATCCCAGCGGAAAGGAAAGCACTGGTAGGTGCTTGGTGTCATGGGGGTGGCAGGAGGCCCTGCCATCAGTCTCCTAGCAGTCCTGGCCCACCGCTTCTCCTGTAAGCTGAGGGTCGTGCTGGCCCCATGCCTCATTTGCGCTGACAATGAAATGTACATAGACCACTTAGCAGAGCCCCGCCCTCCTTAGATGTCAGTGGTTACACCCGGTTTGGCTGGCCCTGTTACCATGGCAACAGAGTCCCACTGCCGCCCTTCTCTGCTGGAGGTCCAGCTTTGTTTATGCTTATATGCTGGGCAGCAGACTTTTTCTAAAATGGACAGAGAAAATTCTCCAGCCTTCGTGGGCCATATGATCTCTCGTAAATACCCAGCTCTGCAGTGACAGCAGGAGCACAGACAACTGTATGTGGAGGGCATCGCTGTGTTCCAATAAAACTTTGCTTACAAAAAGCAGGCTGCAGGCTGGACTTGGCCAGCTGGCCCATCTGACCTAGAAGAAACTGCTCTGAAACCCCCAACGCCCCACTTCCAAGAAGCCAGCAGAAGTCAGGAGATGAGCCCAAGTATCACCCCCCGTTTCCACAAGTGTAATTTTTTTTAGGGCAAGTTGGCCAAAGCCAGGGGTGTGTTCTGACTTGAACTTGGGCGTATGAAAAGGTTCCTACCGCCATCCAGGGATGCACATACCTGTCCCAGAGCGCCCTCTGGTGACCATGCTTGTACTTTGGTTATGTATTAACCAGATGCAGCAAAAGGTGGTTGCAAGTGAAGTGTTCAGGGGGAAGAAAGAAGGCTACGCAGAAAGTTTATATCAACCCTTTGCCAACAGCCGGATAGGTGAGTACGCTTCTCCACTTAAGACGCTATTTGGAAAGAAGGAAAAGGAAGGTGCTCGCCCCACAGCATCTCCTGACCACTATTGCCCCAGTTGAGAAGGACCTAAAAGCAGCAGATGCCAGTGACTGCACCAGGTGCTGTCAGTGATGACTCTGCTCTGGTTCCCTCCCTAGATGAAGGAGACATTAATCCCAAAGTGCTTCAGCTAATTAGCAGTGAGAAGATTCAGGTAAGGAGATGCGTGTCCTGCCTCAAACAGGAGTCCCTTCTGCAGTCTGAGCACAGGGTCTGTTTTCTACATGGCAGATGACAGTAGAGCTGCTGAAATGCAGGGGTGTGTGTGGGCCAGACCCTCGACTGTGATGCTTGGGTATTAGCTCAGATTACAGGGACACATGACTGACAGACACCTGTTAAGCGCCTTACCTGTCACCCTAGGAACTGTCTGGCTTTCTTTGAAGCTGTAAAATGCAGCCATGAACTCAATCCCCACATATCCTGTCAGTGAGAAGCTGTCTGGCAGGTGCCAAAGTGGGCTTCACCATTCAGTGAAGGGTGTGAGGTCCAGGCCAGGTTCATCTCTCGGGGCTGCTGTCCTCCCAAGTGGGGAAAGCGTTCCTGAGAGGATGACCGAGTCCATGGTGTGAGCCGCAGGCAGCAGCTGGTGAGTGCGCCCCTGTGGCTGCCTTGTGCCTTTTGGTTCCTGGGAAAAGAAACCTGACTGGACTGGCTCGTCCTTGGCTGTGAGGGTGCTTTCATCTCCGCTGACCTCCCCGAGCAGGCCTGTGTGGCCGGTGCCTGTAGCCCTGACTGCCTCAGAAAGGCTAGGGCGTAGAGAGAAAACGCCTATGTGCAAAGTTACAGGATTCTGGTGGTGACAGTAGTCTCCTTGCAGTATGGTGTCCCGGTCATTAAATACGACAGGAAGGGCTTCAAGGCAAGGCAGCGGCAACTCATTCTTACTCAGAAAGCAGCTTATGTGGTGGACCTTGCCAAAATCAAGCAGAAAATAGAGTACTCCGCACTCAAAGGTAAGAAGCAGGCAGAGGCCGCTTACTAGGTTCATCTAGCTCCCAGGTATATGGGTGAGGAACCCCCCCAAGTAGGAGACACAGACAGGGTGTCCACAAAGCCTGGGGCTGCCCAGACCTGTGCCTGTCACTCTGGCACCCTCCTCAGTGGTGCCCCTTCTCTCAAGTGTCCAGGTTGGACAGTGACTACAGCAACCTCATTTTTATTCAGCACACGGGCCCTTACAGCCAATGGCAGGCTGATTTTGGGAGCAGGCCCTCGCTCTACTGTGCCCAACTGGGAGGAAGAAAGCATGGGGGCGGGGGCCCCTAGTTGTGCCTCCTTTTTCTCTGCATTCATGTCCAGCTCCTGGCCTCTAACTTTGGATGTGTCTTAAGGTATCTCTACCAGCAACCTGAGTGATGGAATCTTCGTCATTCATGTTTCACCAGAGGACAGCAAGCAAAAGGTGATGGACAGCCCCTCGTCTCTAACAGACACAGCACGATGGTAAATGGCTGTCGTGAAACCCGTGTCACGTGTCCTCTCCACCACAGGGGGATGCCATCCTACAGTGTGAACACGTATTTGAAGCAGTCACCAAACTTGTCATGCTGGTGAAGGAGATCGTGGTGAATGTTGTTCAAGGAAGGTAGGTGCTGCCGGCTTCGGTGCGGGGAGGATTCAGCGCTTGTCCCCTAGTGACAGGTGGACCTCTGGGCAGGTCACAGCTGCCTGCTGGTTGAGATTAGGGAAAGTGTGGACATCCCTTCAGGATGTGGGCCACCTGGTACCCGGAGGCATCCCTTCTCGACTCAAGGCGGGGTCATCAGCACACGCAGTGTTGCCCGGGTGGGTGGGATGGTGCGTTCTCCAGTGTACCCTTCTCATCCTTGGACCAGGCTCCCAGAGCCCTGGCTGCTATCTCCCCCTCATACTTTTGCTGCTCCTAGTAGGCTCTGGCAGGTGGTGTTGCTGAGGTAAACCTGGCCCATTATGAGCTTCAGCTTCAAGATGTATAGGTGGGGCTTCCGACATCAAACTGGTCCCCTGAAAACAATGTGCTAAACTGCTGTTAAGGTACTACAGGAATGTGGTAAATTCCCAGTTGCAGAAATGATTTTCTTGCCCAAATATGTAGTAAAGCAGGAATTCAACTGAAAGTAAAGTTTTGTAAGTGAATTTCTGTTGCAGATCAAAGGCTGAGGGGAAAAAAACAGGTTGGTAATACACCATTTTGTGTATTTTAAGTTTACAGTTTTATATCAGTCCTGGAAAAGAAGGCACAATCGTTTTCAACAATGGCCCAGAAGAACATATCTACAAAGATAAAAACGGACAGTTAACAGTGGTGAGTGGCTGTGTTTAGGGAGGAAGGTAGGCAGATTTAGATGAGGATATAACTTGAAATGCCACCCATTTCAGCTCCAGTTTGTTGCAGATTCCAGGTTGACTGGAACATTTTCCCTCGATTTCTCATTCCACGTCTGAAAAACAGGAAGGAACTGACCTGGAATTTTTTCCTAATGAGCTTCAAAAATTACCAGTGCTTGTGTCCATCCCCAATACTGCCGTGTGACTGGCTGGGTATGGCATGGGCTTTGCAATGCAGGCGATCCCAGATGTACAGAGCAGAGAGGGGCTTGGAACCAAGATGCTGAGCCTGAGAGCTGGTGCTTTGCCCTCACTGCCAGCCATGGCACCAATAGCCCCACTGGCAAATCGTGTGCAGAGCTTCATTTTGATCTGATTTTGCTAGGAAATGACATTTTAAAAGCCAACTGGGCTGAATCTTTAAGGTGTGTTAATAATACTTGGTATACACAACTAATATTAGTTTATAATATCTGGTATATACAAAAACCATGGAGTTTCTCAAACACATTGAAATTTGTACACATGAAAGTGATATTTTGTGTATGTAAATATTAGACAAGTACCTTTTATAACACAAACTCCTTGAGGGCCAGGTTGAAATATGTACACATCGCCTTGAATGTCAAATAGAAGGTGATTTTTCCACTTGCATGCGGTCTTAAAATACACGCCCTCTGAGACCGGCTGTATCACTTGGAATCGCACACAGCCTGTCTTCCCACCTGACAGGCTAACAGGCCACAGCAAGCCCATTCCTGATTGTGGCTTGAGTGGGTGTGGGGCTGGCTTCTTGACGCTTGTCCAGACCCATCTTGATGATGCTGATAGTTGGGGTGATGATTTCTCCCTTTTGGGTGAGGCCAAGTGAGCGGTCCCTAAATCTAACTTGCTTTCTGCCAGGTGTCAGTCCGCATGAAGTCCTGATAGAAGAGGATGTCGTCCTGTCACCACTGCTCTGAGGAAAGTCCCTGGGAAGTGGGGATTTGATCCAGGCAGCTATACCCTCAAGGGAAGGTTACAGCAGCTCTAGGGAAGGGATCTCAGCTGAAGAAATGAAGTGGCATCTTCTGCCAAAGCCCAGCCCCTGCTCCTCAGCTGCCTGGTGGCACTAAATTGTCTTTTTTAGGGATCCAACCTCAAGTCATCTAAGGGAATGGTTTTAAGTGTCCCCAACAGGAACAAGACCTATCCTGGATGGGCACGTGAACCTGTGATTTATAGGGTGAACAGACTATCCTTGTGAAGGGGTCCTGAGACACAGGAGTACTGCATATGGTCTCAGTAGATGAAATTTCAAAAGCTGCACAACTGAATTCCACTTCAAATAGATGGAACACAGAAATATGAAGGAATTGGGTACCTCTCCACGAGGCTCTCTGGGGTCCAGACGGTGAGTTTACCCACAGCCCACCTCCCGATGTTAGATCAGCACCAGCTGACCAGCTCTTCCTCTAGCCCTGTGGCATCCCACACGAGGCTTCCTTTCACGGTCTAATTTCAACCACAGAGCACGACTCATCTTTCCCACTCCAATGAGCGCTAAGGTAACAAAGCAGAATGCAGGGTTTCTGCCACAAACCGCACGTCTGTGACTTGACTGTGCTGGGCATTTCTGAAAAGACCCAGAAAATAGAGGCATGACTTTTATTTTACACATGTCCACGAATGCGCGTACAACACACGGACTACTACTGAAGCTTATCACACTTTTTCATAGCAGAGACAAAAAAGGCAGTGACGCACGGATGTTACAAGGACTGGGGGGCCTTAAAGACAGCACACATGACGGGGGGCGGGGGGGCTAAGTGTTGTTCACACTGGGTCCCGAACAGCTGCTGTAAGCACAGGCGAACGCACGCAAGGCTGGGCTGCCCGCGCGCTAAGCCAGGAACCTTGGGCACCAGTCCCGGCTCCACAACCAGACGACTTCTCTGAAAACACGGAACCCAATTACAGGAGACCAAAAGTTGTCACACTGTAGTAAAACTTCACTCCTTACCAAATGATAAGCCAATATTTTACTTAGCTGGCTTTTAAATAAAAATGACTGGCTCGCCCTCAGTGCTAGCATCACTATCAGTTCCTCTTGCAGAGTATGTTCGGTAACAGAGCTGGGACCAGCCAATGCTTTGTCAGCTCATGGCTCTATATGCAGCGAACATGGAATGTTTTACGAATCTGCTCGTATCCCAGGGAAGCAAAGACTCAAAACTACAGGTGCAAAGCTGGAAAGTAGAGAGACTGCCAGAAACATTAAGTCATATGGTGTAAAGCCAAAACAAATCAGATTGTTCCACAAACTTACTCTTTACAAAAACAGTTAAACAATTTATATGATGGCTTTCCCATCCTCCTACAGAAAACATCGGAACTGACATACTTTAACGTTCTAAAAAAGTTCAACCCAAACAGCAGGGTTGGTGTTAAACAGTATAAAATATTTGCAAAACATCTTAAGCCCCCTTTTCCTTAGTAAAATCTAGGTGGCCTGATAAAGTTTCCCACATGACGGCTAAAAATCGTACATTGGGTAGATGTTTTCTAAAGTTCAGTCATGATTGTTTTGAAGTTTTATTGTAGTCTTTGCTGCTGGCTACAAAATAAAGTCTAAGCTGTAAAAAACCATTTCAAAATATAAACTTTTTTTTTTTTTTGGAGTACATTGTGTCAAAGGATGCCCACATGAATACCTTTGGTATAAAACAGTAACATTTCCCTCAAAAAGCAGATAAAACCCATCCACTACCTTAATACACACACTCACTTCTCCTTTTAACTACCTAGTCTAGTCTCAACCACCCACGTCAGTCACAACTTGCTTCTCTGCCTGTCAGTCACAACATGCTTCTCTCCCTTCACAGGCGCAGAGGAGACTGGGAGGTAGTAACTGAGAACGTCTGTCCTACACGACACCGTGCAGAGAGTCGGCTCCAGGGCAGGCCACCTGTGCCCACAAGCATACGTTCCCATTGACAGTCACATGTCCCTTGCGCAGACACTATCCAGACCCAGAGGGTCTGCACATGCTCTCACCTGCTCACTGATAGCCATTCCTTCCTGTGTAAAAATCAGAGGCAAAGACACACAGGGGATCTCCAGCGGATGCCGCGTTTACAACAGGGAGACTACCCTGAGAGGGGGGGGCTGCTGGTGTGGTGGGCTCCCGCGGGGATGCCAGGCTGCGGGGGACAAAGAACCCGGGGCACATCTAATTTGGAAGCAAGGGCAGGGACCCACTTGCAGCGTAAGCCCAGCTGAACAAGGAATAAGGCTGAGGGAGAAGGAACAGGTCCCTGGAGCAGCGGATTGTGAGCTGCCAGGCCGGCTGGGCTCCTGGGCATGGTGGGGGTCAACAAAGAGGGAGGGTGGTTGGAAAGGGCAGCAGTCAGGGATGGAGCCAGAAGAGCCCCGCCCCTCGCCAGATATGGGGTTCTAGCAGGCACCAGACCAAGAACAGCCAGAGTGGCAACAGATGCCCCTTCAACAGCCAGGCATCCAGAGCTGCTAGGAACCACCATTCGGGGCACGAAACTCATTAGGTCTCTTCATGCGACAAGTTTCAACCTCATCGCGTTAGAGGTGGAAGCCTGTCGTAGGACGGACTTCTAGCAAAGCCACGGAGACAGCTAGCCAGGTGCAGGGGAAGCGAATGGGGAGCACAAGGACATCTCGGGCAGCCACCAGCTGCAGGATCCCTCTCAGAGCAGTCAAACGGAACCCCGAAGGGAACACCACCCAAAAAGTTCACATAGGTTGTCAACACCCACAAAAATAAATACTGTAGACAAAGGTTCTCACATACACTTCACACCCATTCACATGTTTCCTCCGAGAACCACGAAAGCCTGACTCCCAGGAATCTCATGGAAAGAGACACCTCGGACACAGCTTGTTCAACAGGGCACAAATCACCTGGGTACCGACAGCCAATCCACCTTGAACTATCAAAACAATCTTCTGGCTTGTGACAAAAGTCTCTCCAGGGCTCCAGGGGAAGCGGAAGGGCCCAGGAGCTGCATAGAATCTGAGTGGAGCACGGAGGGAGGGGCAGGGCGGCCGGGGCTTGCCTGCTCACTGATGGAGATGGGCCCGGTCATCAGGTCGCTTGATGTGGATCCTCCGCACGCGCTCGATTCGCTCCCGCTCTCGCTCCTCATCTTCGTCCAGATGGTGGGAGCGCCCAGCCGCCCCGCCTGTGGCTTCCAGGAGTGCATTGTCAGGTCCCCGGCCATCCTGGGCCTCGTAGAGCAAAATATTCAGGGTCTCCTCATAAATCCGGGCTTCAGGGAACTCAACCTGAATCCCCACAAGATAAAAAGCGGGTAAGTTAGCATCACACACAGCCCCACCAGTAACCAGATTTCCTCTTCAGAGATTGAGAGGAAATGACGAAGTGTACAGCATGATTAACAAGGAAGCCATGCGTACTGCCCAAGGAGAGCAGGCAAGTGGAAGACTTAAAGGGACTGAAGTTCAGTTACCAATGGACTCCAAAAGTGCTTTGGGTCTGACTGAGCTTTGCAGAACGTGACAGCAATAGAAGTCAAGGGGAAGGTCAAGTGCAATGGTTTTGAGAGGATGACAGAAAAGTGGATCCAGGTTAGCCAGGGAGTCACGAGCTTGGTAGGAAGCCAACAGGGTCCACTGAGTGGCCAGGCCCTGCGATGGTGGAGGGCCACTCCAGGACAGTGTAAGAGAAGAGACATCTGGCAAACAAGTGGGCCATGACTACAAGGTCACACTGTTCCTGATGAGAGATGGGATGGGGCCATGTGGTGGGAAATGACAGCACGTGGAGGATGGGAGCAACAGCACAGGCAGAGTTCCAAAGATCAGAGACAACAGAAAGCACTGGCAGCCAGGGAGCCATAGGCACACGGACACGTCTGAATTAACAGTCACGGCAACGGAACTGAGGTATGGTAGGACTGTTTCCACTGTCGAGTGTCAGATAGGCAACGCCATTCTGTGCTTCCAAGATCTACACTTGGATCTTTCCAGGGCCCAAAAGAGAATAGTTTAACAAAGAGCAATCAGAAAAACACTGTTAAAGCCTTTCCTGCTATGTTGCTTTTGCGCCAGTGAAGAGGGCAGCTGTGAAGCACCCAGCGCCACTGGAAGCCCTTACCTTGGTCTGCTTCTTCTCAGTGGCATAGACGATGGAAGTACAACAGACTTCAGCGATCTTGCGGCCCTGGCCATAAAAGGACCAGCAGCAGATCTCGTCTCCAATGACATCCTTTATGAATAGGACCCTTCCATTAAAGCGCAGAGACAGCTTATCAAAGAGCTCAATGTTTTTCAACATATTGTCGTCAGAATTGCTGCAAGAGAGCATGTGATAAGGTGACCACCTGCTACCACCTGCTGGGCCCTCATGTCCACTATCACATTTCAACCTCACGATAGTCCCATACGAGGGCATTACTGTCCCAATGCTCACAGAAGGAAGGTCAGAAAAATTGGGTTAATTGCCCGAGGTCAAAAACTAACAAATAGCAAAGTCAGGTCCAAGAGCTCCAGCCTAAGCCAGAGCACGGAACCCGCTGCTGGAGTGACCCTCTGCCCGCTCTGCAGTGCTGGAGGACACTGAAAACAGGAACACTCGGTGGTGGGACCTGGACACCCCCTAAACCACAAGTAGCAGAAGAAAATGCCCAAGGGAAACTTTACCTGGGGCAGTTTATGGATCTTGGGTAAACTCATGAAATCCCCCCTGCACCCCTCAAGGTCCTGATTGAGAGCCACACGTTCCAAGGGCCAAAAGGTGTTCTAGAAACCTGCATATACTGCTGGTGGGAATGTAAAAAGTGATGAAGCCACTTTGGAAAACAGTTTGGCAGTTCCTCAGATGACTAAACACAGCTACCACATGACCCAGGGGTATACACCCAGGAGAAGTAACTACACAGGGCCATGTGAAAACATGTAGATGAATGTTTGCAGCAGCATCATTTACAATTGTGGAAACAGCCCTAACTGCCTATTAAGGGATGAATGGTTAGTCAAACTGTGGTCTGTCCATACAATGGAATATTATTCATCCACAAAATGGAATAAAATACTAAAACATACAACATGGATGAAACTTGCGAAAAGCTAAGTCGGAGAAGCCAGAGGCAACATTGTGATTCTATTACACGAAAGGACCAGAGACAACTCCATAGAAACAGCAGCAGCAGTGGCTGACTAGGGTTGGAGGATGATATGGGGAGAGGGAGGAAAATGGGGAGTGACAGGGTTTCTTTTGGGGATGAAAACATTCAACAACCAGGCAAGAGGTGATCAGTGTACAACACTATGAACATATTCAAAAACACTGTGTTGCACACTTGAAAAGGAGGAACTGTTTAAGGTATGCACGAATTTTATCTCAAAACTGTCTAGCCTATCTTATCTGTCCATCCACCTGTCCATCTAGCTGGGTATTCTAGATATGCAGGCTGCCTTCATCGAGGAGAACAAGAGGAGCTGGGCCTGGCTGGTGTGAGCGGAGGCTGTCCTGGTGAATGCAGGTATCTTTTCTGGCTGACACCTTACCTGGTATATGAATATTTATTGTTACTTCTGTTGTACAGCAACTTCACAGCGGGCTGTGGGTTGTTTGAAAAAAGAAGAGAGTTATTTGGAATGCAGGTACAACAATCCACTGGCTTCCCACGGGGCTGAGGGCTGCCATCAGACCAGAGGCATAGACAAGAGTAGCTTGCCAGCTCGAGAGGGAGGCGGCGTGACCCAATATCCGGGGAACACATCACTAGGGTAGGTTCCCACTCTTAATCCTTTCTCAGGTCTTGCTCAGACTGTTACACATGTTTTTATTTCAAAATGTATTGAAAAGAACCTCCATTACTTCTGGTAGTAAAAGAAATGCCCCAGGGTGCCTCCAATTTACCTTATTTGAAGTTGCTATAAGTTTCTGTTCTTCCTTGGATGAGGTGATGACAGGAACTTTGCAGAAAGGCTCATAAGTATCTTTGTTCTGCTGGAACAAAATGTGCTTTTAGTATAGGAGACCTGCCCCACACTGGATTATTTAAGCTGGCCTGCCAGACTAAGACAGGCTCTGGCAAAGAGAGGTGGGCCAGTCACAGCTGGGAAGACAGGAGGATTCTTATACCAATGACTTAGGATGGAGAAGGACAGAGAGTAAAGTTCTCCATAAGTCTGCTCTTTGGCCAGGGCCACTGTGTGCCGGGTGCTCAGGACACACTAACAGTGATGACACTTCTCCAGAGCCTAGAAGCCCCTCAGTAATAAACTCAGAACTTGGCCAACGAAACAAAATTAAATCAAAGCTCCTAAAACCCCACTACCATGACTACAGAGGAATAAAAGGGGGGTAAGCACATTAGGAGAAAGAGAATGGAAAGAGAGGGGCCAGCAGACAAAAGACGTCAAGATTCGAGGTTGGAAACCAGCTCACAGATGACCAAGGGGAAAGAGAAAGCTGAAATCCAAGTCAGCAAGAGGAAAGACTCCTGGGGATTCTTCACAGAACAGCTCTGAAGCCAGGCACCGTGCCAGAGCAGAGAGCTGCCTGCAGCCAGCACAAGCACTGGTGAGATCCCCATAGAGATCCTGTTCCCAAGCCTGGCAAGGAAAAAATCCACTTTCTTGGAGGGGTTTGTATAGCCAAGAAAGGCTGAGTTGGTATTCTGAACCGGGGGATTCAGTGAACAGTCTACACACTAAATGATGAGGTCCCCACCTCCAGGCCATTCCCCTACTCAGATCCCAGAAGGCAATCAGCAAGGCTTCCACCCACCAGGTAAGAAAGCAGAGGATTCCTCTACAGGGAACTGATCTGTTCCAGAAAAGACTGGCAGATGTTGACATTGGGGGTTCCCACTGAGAAAGTCAGCCAAGTCCACTGGACAACAAAGGACCACTCAGGAACAAACAGCTTTTCAGAGTCTTACTCTTAAATTTCAACAGTCAGCCAGGGATCATCAGATTATATGTAGAAAGTCTCTTAAATATGACAGAGAAACCAAAACAGACAGAGGAAAGGGGAGGAGTGAGATGCTGAAGAAAGCAGAAAGAAAACTGCAGGTATCAGAGACATGAGATCAGCATGCAATGTAAAAAAGAGCACTCAGAGAAGAAAAGATTCTTCAAAATTAGAAATAGGACAGCAGCAATGGAAAACTCAACAGAAGCACTGAAGAGGTAAAACCTTTGAGAGAGCAGAACAGAAAAATAAAAGTGCCAGAAACTGGAAGGTCAGTCCTGGAGCTTTGACCCCAGACTAACAGAAACCACAGAAAGGGAATCCAGAGGACATACCCCCCAAAAAAGAAGAAAAAGAGATTCCTTGATGTGTCTAAACATACCAGTGGGAGGAATGATCTTTCTGGACATTCAGGGCTGAATTAGGAATATAGATATTTAGAAAACCAAGCAAACAAAACACTGAAGCAATCAGTAACTCTGGCAAACTGAAAAGTTACACAGAAAAGAATTATACGTACTGTGATTCAACAATATTTGCACATCACACTGTAAACTCTGCATACTGATTCAATCACAACTATAACTAAATTGGGAGAATGGGAGAAGGAATATATATGTCGGTTTAGTATCAGCTGGGGGTGCCGGCAGTGCATGAGTAAAATTTTAATTTTCTGCAGTAACGCATAGATAACGCTGAAAACTGACATGTCAGTTAATAGTAGTATAAGGAATATGAAAGTAAATAGAACTGTTGAAAGAATTTTTTTAAAAGGCTGGGGACAAGAGACGGCATATGGCGGTTTTGACATTAATCTTACAATACTATGACTTCTTAAATGATGCACATGTATTACTTAAACATAAAAATAAACTAAAAATAAAATAGATGCTACAACATTCAGCTGGATTTACACTGAGTTTACAGACGCTCAGGGTAGCAGCAGAGTGCAGAAGTACAGCTTGAGGAGCTAGGCCTCGTGGGTTTGCTCCAGCAAAGGACCAGACACGTGGCTCTGGGAGGCAGACAAAAGCCTCACATTTACAGGTCTGATTCCTGTGACCACCTCAGGGACTCCTCTGATACGCTGCCATTTTGGAAAATCCCTTGAAATTAAGTGGCTGTGGCAATGTCTAAAAGCATTCTGGTTTTAAAGGGGTTTGTTATCACTAGATTTGACCCCAATGGTCTTGTCTCAGGCTCAGCTAAGAAGTGAGGGGTGTTTGTCTGTACAGATTTTTCTGGATTCATAATAGTGACTCATGGGGCAAGAAAAAGTCCCAAGATGTGCCCAGAAAGCCAGTTTTACACCCTGTGGGCAGAACTAAGGGTTTCTGTGTACACATGTGATGACCCACCACTGTGGGGGAAGAAATCAGAGCAGCTGGTGGCTAAGCATGAAATGAAGGCTTTCCAGGGTCACCCAGACCAAAGTGGGGAGGCTCCAGGGTAGCTCATTTACTCTCACAGCCCCTCAGTGAGGGAGAATTGCCCTCTTCAACAGAGGGAGGTAATGAGGACGGGTGGGTTTGGTGCCTTCCCATCCATACAGCAAGAAAGGGTGATGCCTACTTGCAGGGCAGCCTGGCATTCTTCCACCAGGCCCTGGACCAGGTAGTACTTGGCTTCTGCCAGCAGCTCCTCGATCTCCCGGCGGCTCTCGGGCAAGGGGACTGCCCCATCACGAAGGTAGTTGAGTATCGTACCGAAGTGCTTCCCACAGCGGTCAATGAGGATCCAGCCTGCAGGGGAAGGAGGAAGGGGGGGGCTCCTTACACAGTGCTCTCTGGTGCTGAGGAGAACAGGCGTGCCTCTTGGCTTCCTCTAACTTCCAGGGGAAAGTAAGATCACAGAGGCTGCAGCCCCACCTGCCCGGCTATCAAGCAAAGGGCTGATGAGGCCCTGCTGGGCAGCACTGGCACATAAGCAGGCCCTGTTGGTTAGTGGCAACCACACCCTGGACTCGACCCCAGGCCCTGAGGCCTAAGAAGCACACCCAGAGTACCCCCAAAAATCCCTTGGACAGTAACATCCCCACAGGGGCAAAGTGCCCTACATCTGGATAAAAGGGGTCCAAATGACCACACCTAAAGACAGGGGATAGGTTTTGGAGGTGAAAATGTCTACTCCTTTCTATTATACTTTTCACCTTTTTCAGACTTCCAAACAACAGCCATTTCTAAGAAAACACACTGCAACCTCTGACTCGTGAGGGTGCCCCCAAACACCGAGCAACCCCATGGACAGTTCCACTTCTAACTCCCAAATATTTACTGACGAGTGGCAGTGATGAGACAAAATAGTGAACCAGGGAGACCCAGGCCTCACGCAGTTCAGGCTAACATGGAGAGGTGGGACTCGCTTTTATTAGACATGGAACAATGTCCTAACCACTGACCAGAACCGGCACAGCGAGCACTTCTTAGGACAGGGTCAGGCAGGCAACCCCTTGCGCTTCTCGATGTCCTCTCCAACCTCCTTGCTGGCCTACGGTCCTTCCACTAGAAATCAGAGGGGTCTGCAAAATTCCTTACTGAAATGCCAATGTCCTTGGGAGCAGTAAGCAGGACTGGAGCCTGGGAAGAAGAGGAGGTACCAACAAGAGAGGTAGGGATGGAACAAACAAATTCTATTTTCCCCATAGAAAAGATGAAGCAATAGAAGCCAGCCAGGCCCTGACAATGAAGTCCCAGACTTCCCCACCAACAGGACAGTCTCCTGCCCCCAAGACGGGCATGAATACACTAACATGCAGGGCAGAGGGGAGGTTTAAATAAGAGTCAGTAGTTCCATGCCCCCACTTCTTGCTCCTTTTGCTCAGTTTGGGAAAAGAGGCCCGCATTCCCATCCCTAACACCCCTGGGCCCTGATCCAACTCCTCCACAGACCCCAGGGCCCTGGCTCAGTGGTAGAGACCAACGAAAGTCCAGCGCAGCAAACACTTTTGAGTCAAGAGTCACCCCCCAAACCTAGCCAGTCCTACCAAGAGCCTGTCAGCGGCGTCACTGCGCTCGCTGGCATTCCTTGCGGCAATGGCCAGGGGAGTCAGCGTGGTGAGTCACATCCCCGACAGGGACTAGGGGGTGTCAGCCCACGGTGGTCATCTACAGCCCAAGACAACAAAGTATGGACTCAGCATGTGTTACCCAGCTCGGATGCCTACAGCGCCTTGAGCAAGGAGCACAAGTGAGTGCAGGCGGGCAGTGGCCCTTGGGGAGAGGGGCTCTTCCTGCTTCAGTTAATCCTGGTCCAGCAGGAGCATGAGCCCAGGGTCGCAAGAGCCTCTGATGTTCCACTCAAAGCCAGAAATCCAGATTTTCCTGTGAGTGGTAAACTAATTACTTTTAAATGGCCCTAATCCACCCTAGGTCAAACAGAACAGATGTGCAGATGGCACCCGGCCCGCAGGCCACACCAGCTACTGCCTTCGTTACCCTGCAGCCAGTGCTTCTCTTCCCTTGAGTGACAGGTGTGGAAAGACAGTGTTACCTTCCCAACTGTTCTCTTGGGTGGGGGGGGGGGGCGCATTCCCTGTTTTCTACAGGGGGGTAACAGAGGCTCAGAGAGGTTCAATGGCATTCCCAAGTGGAGGAGGCAGAACCAGGTCACAAAGAACAAGACACTCCCAGGAAGAAGCCTTCCACCAGAACTGAGAAGACAAGCAGAACCTCAGTCTATAGGACAATCAGCAACCGATTCAACTGCCCTGGGAAGAGACCATCCACAGCTCTGACACTTGGACTATGCAGCTCCCAGAGCGAGTGAGGTCCCCGAAATCATTATCTGAGTGACAGCCCAGCGTTTCCATAAGCGAATAGGCAGACCGTGACACTGGGCTACAGCTCAAGAATGCTGTCAGGAAATGCTTGTGGTGAAGGAATCATACTTTGGACAAATAAGGGCAAAGGAGCCAGGCACACTCTCCATGAGGTTTCAATTAGCATTTTGACTTGAAAATATTTTAGTTGCTTTCAAAGCAGGAATATATCCCTTTGAAATAGTCAGCTCAGCATGCAGAAAAGCAAATGCAAGTCAAGCAGTTCGTTGCCTACAGGGTGTCTTTCCTGCTGCCGTGGGCCACAAGGGATACTTAGGAAGGTTGTACAGTCAGGGCAGCCTGGAGTCTGGTGGATCTTTGGCAAGGCTGGAGCACAGAGCAGGAGGGGTGCAGACTTGGAGGCTCCAACTGGCTCTGGGGGGCTGTGAGAGACACAGCACAGCAGTCACAGTGCAGGCCTGCGCAGGAACCCAGCTCCGTGGCTACTTGCTGGAAAACATGGGTGTTTCACTGAACCTCTTGTCCAGCACTTTCCTCTTCCAGAAAGGTGCCCCACATGGCTGGCATAAAGAGAATGTATGGGAAGCATACGGCACAATGCCGAGTCTGCCAGCAACACCCAAATTAGATCTCTGAGGATAAGGCCCTTCACCATCTTATCAGGGCTGGGGGACAGGGCAGCAGCAGCAGCAGTGTCCAGAGGTGCATATTCCGGCCCCCAGTAGGGACTCTGTGTGGTTTCTGGGTCCATCAGGGTTTTTCTTGGGGGTTAAGGGGATGGGCCTCCCAGCCCCAACAGTACACCGTGCGCTTTCTCTTCCCCAAACCCCCGGCCTTCTGGGAGCTTTCAATGACCTCCCCTCACCATACCAAGGTATCGATACTGGTATTTTTCTGGCTCCCTAACCTGCCTAATCAAAAGTCATCTGAGGTTTGTTACAAATTCAGATTCTAGGAAGTCGCCTCATCTGGAACCAGAATCTCCAGGCTTGGCCCAACCGACATTTCGGACCAGATAATGGGTTATGGAGGGATGTCCTGAGCACTGCAGGGTGCTGAGTGGGACCCGTGGCCTCTACACACTAGACACCAATAGTGCCCATCCCCAAACTCTCTCTGGGCATTGCCAAATATCCCTCGGGGATCAAAACTCATCCCTGGTTGAATACTAGCCAGCAACCTAAAAACTTTGAGGTATCAGAAGACAACATTAAAAAAGCTAAGACATCTTCTGGGAGAAGGTATTTCAACACAGAACGACAATAAAATGAGATCTATAACATATACTTCTACAATGCAGTAAGAAAAAATAAAAAAATGTGCAAATGTGTAAATAAGATGCATCAGGCAGTTAGACAATAAAACACAAATGACCACTAAACATAAAAATATGCTCAATGCATTAGAAATTAGGAATTTAAACCAACAGCAGAGCACCCTATCACAACCACCAGACCACAACAATTGGAAGGTCTAGCAGCACCCAGTGTTGGTAAAAATTCAGACTGCGCAGTGAGGAGTATAAACTGACACAACCACTATTATCTAAACAAGCCAGAGATGCTACTCTCAATTCAACCCCCTCAGAGTAAATTCCAGGACAGAGCTCCTGGCGGTGGGTAAGATCTTAATGCTGCAGTCCCTAATGCACACCCCGAGGTGGAAGGGTGGGGGCTGGGGAGTCCAGAGGCTTCTACTCACAAAGCGAAGACATGTTTTTCTCTGTGTGTCATGATGTGGCAAAGCCTAGGAAGCACTGCCCCAGGGAAAAGCACACTGCAGAGGGAGAGTGTTCCAGAACAATGACCTTCCTGCTGGTGAAGGCTGGAGCCATTGAGATACCTGTCAACAGAAGACCGTGCTGCGGAGTCCTAGAATGGAACACTCTACCTCTCACCCCACCCATAGAAATGTCCTCGCCAGAGCTAGTTATTTATGGCTCCATCTCAAAAGCATCCTTCTGAGTAAAGCAGAAGCAAAAATGCTACAAACCATGGGACAGCTGCATTAAAGTTACTCATGGCCCGCAGTGGTTCTCTGCCTCTGCTGCACATCAGAAGGCCCTGGAGAGCTCCTAAGAGTCCCCGTGGCCCACACACCCTGCCCAGTGCAGCTGGTTCATTGGGGGATCTGGGGATCAGGACTGGACTCCAGGGGTGTCTCACTGTGCAGCCAAGGCTGAAAACTAACGAGTGAGCCCAAAGTCAGGCTAGAGGTTACCTCAGGAAGAAGAGAGGCAAACAGATGGTAAAGAGAGGCACCGCGAATCCAGTAGTGTTTTCTTCATTGTCCAAGTTGGGGCACAAAGGAATTTGTCATCATCCACAATTTAAAAGATCTCAAGGTATTTCAGGGTTTTACAAAAGGTCTGGAGATCTCCAGGAAACCGCTGGCTACTATAGTTTTCCCACGTATTTTTTTTTTTTTAAAAGATTTATTTTTTATGCATACGAGAGTTGGGGTACAGGCCAGTGGTGCGGGGAGTGAGAGGATTCACCAGAGACAGAGTGGGGAACAGAACAGGCAGAATGACTGAAATACACTGCTGAGGGGAGCAGCGGGCGAGACAGGAGAGGTCTGCTGTGCCATGTAGGTTGCTCCCTGGCCAGGGATCGAACTTGTGCTGCAGTGGCTGCGGGATAGCTTCACAGCGCTGAGACTTAACCCCTTGCGCCATCAGGGAGCCCCGCCCGCCCCACCCCCCCATATTTTTACACTCACTTCCTCACTGGTTTTCTAGGCAACATGTGCTGCAGATAAAATTAATGATTTAACCTAGTTTATAGACTCCCTCATTCCAAAAACATTAACAAGAGCCCAGAGACCACCGAAGGAGAAAGCACTGTACCCGACACCTACAGGTGAGCGCTAGGTGGAATTCCTCTTACCACAGATACCGCATAACTCTTCCACATAACCCATGGCCAATGACAGTGTTCACGGGGGCTAGGGAAGAATTCCAGGCTGCAAAGACTGGCCCTTCCTGGGAGGGAGTCTGGGAACACTGCCAGCGCTCCAGTCCTCTCAGGAAAGACTTCTCTCGCGGGCCACCTGGAACTGCAGCACACGCGCCCCTCAAAGCCAAGGCAGACCACTTTCCCCCAACTCGCAGCTTCTCCACTGTCCCCCCACTGCTCTTTCCTGTCCCCCTACATCCCACCCAGGCAAAAGCCAGCGATAATGGGACACTCCCCATTTACCTAGTCTTCCAATGTGCCCAGCACTTCAGCAAGTGCTTTCTAATGCCCTCCTCCAATCCACACAATGACCCTGAAAAAAGCAGTCTTGTTCACACATTCAAAAGGGAAACAGGCTCAGAGAAAGTCACTCAGCCAAAGCCACACAATAAGCCTACATCAGCACAGCCCCTGGCACACAGAAATCGCTTCCTAGATATCAGCTCTGGCTGTTGCCGCCTGACAGAGCCTGGACTCAAACCCAGATCTCTCACTCAATACCCACGTTCTCCCTGAAGGAATGACGTACACAAGTACAAGTTCCCACCGGACAAGGGCACAGAGTCTTCCGCCAGTCTCCCACTCCCACCCAGATCCCCTCCCCAGAAGCAACCGGCCTCTTGTATTCTCTAAATCTCTCCTGCAGAGACTTCTATGCCACAACAAGCCGCTGCTCTTGCCTTCAGAGTGCCTGTGCTCGAGCTGCTCTGCCAGTCATCTGCCTAGTCAGGCCCTGGTGGGGTACTCACCAGGGAGACGGGACTGCCCCACCTGGCACAGCACAGGCTAGAAGACAAGACAGCAGTCTGACAGCCCAGGACATCATGGGACCCCAAAGGGGCTGCAGCACAAAGGTATCGGTTAAACCCTAAGACTATGACACTTGGGCTTGGGCCCCCATCAAGCCACAGACAGCAGAAGGCCAGTGAGTCCTGGATTCAGTAGCTTGCCCATCCCCGTCGCTTTTGTAAACACAACCTGAGTCTGGATTTCTCAATTATCAAATGGTAACAACAGCACTCACCCCCAAAGGATTATGGTGAGGCTTAAATGAAATTAACACCAATAAAATGCCACACTGTGGGCTTTCGGTGAGAGGCAGGAGGCGAGAGTTCTAGTAAAATGAAAACAGCCGAGGTCTGGAGGCCCAAAGACAGCAATGCTTCTCGGCATTTCCCAGGAGCACCGGGATGACATCCTATGCAGCTGCTCTGGCCGGAGCAGCCCACCCGTAGCCTGCCCGCGCTGGTCCTAGTGGGATGTGGGGGCGTCTAAGGACAGCCCCTTCTGCAATATGGCATTAGGCAGGCCATGGAAGCCAGGGCTTTCAAGGAGCCAAAGCAACTGGGCGCTTTTCCTGAGCCCCACCAGAGACTGGGCAGGGCGGAAGACAAGCCACAACCATCCTGGGTTCTCAGATAAGGTCTCCTTCCTTCTGTGGCTGGGATGCTATTGTCTTGATTTCCACAAATACTCCCAGGCACTGCTGGGTGTGGCACAGCAAAGGGGATCCTCCCACTCATAAAAAACTTGGCGTTTTCTGGGTGAGACACAGAAGGCAGCTCTAGGGCACCGACTTCATTTGCAGCAGCTGCTGCCGGGCCAGAAACTGGAGTTCACAGGAAGCCAGGGAAGCAGAATCTCAAGTCCTGCAGCCTAGCCTCCAGGATGTGGAGGGAAACACCCAAGCAGGAGGCAGCCCTCTTAGGTGGGAAAGGAACAGTACAGACCAGGCTCTGGGCCTTCAGCCCCACCTGTGTCAACTTGCCCTTCCTCTGAGGAACCACTGTCTCTGGAAAGGTAGGGGTGTCAGCACAAAACAGATGAGTGAAGGTCAAACCAGGCTGTGGTCTGGTCTGAAGCATTCTTAGGTGAAGGAATGAAGGACAGGGCCATTTTTAAACTTCGTGCCAAACTTCAAGCCACCAGCCACCCTATAACCCAGCCAGGGAAGGATGTCCTCACTTGCCAGGTGCGCTTAGATTTTTTCCAGGTGGGTAGGGAGTAGTTATATGAAAACCACTTTAAATAGTCTCTTGCCTTTTATTAATACCACTCTCCACAAGAAAAAAGAGTACACAGAACACACAGGTACTAATTAAATACTTATTCTGCACCAAAAGCCTCACAAGGAAGGTATCCTCGTACCCATCTCACCAGCTGGGGAAAATGAGACATCAACAGGTTAAACCACCTGGTCAGGATCACCAGACACCAACTGGGGAGCAGTGACTCAAATCCAGGTGAGTCTGTCAGGACCCCTGGCCTGAGATGACAAAGATCTAGACAAAACACATGCCTCACACTTGAGTTTTACTCTGTGAACCACAGGGATCATTGTTGAGAGAACTAGGAGGGAACCAAGTAGGGCAGCTAGTCCAGCATCCATTTTACAGAGCTGAGGTCCAGAGTGGTCAAGTGACTTTCTCCAAGTCACACAGCAAATCAACTCAGACTGTGAGTCACTGTGGCTGACTGTGACCCATCTTTCTTTAGGTCTCAGTTCAAATGTCACTTCCTCAGAGAAGCCTTCCTTGACCACAAACTCCAGACAATATCTGGTCTCCCCGCTGCTCAAGGCTCCCCGCACACCGTGAGCACGGCACTGAGCCCCACTGGAACCTTGTAGCTGTGTGCTCAACTGCCCGCGAGTGCTGGTCTTCTGAACCAGGATGAGGCCCTCAAGATGGGCAGAGCCCCAGTGCCAGGAGGCAGCCTTACCTTCGCTGTCGGTGAGCACTTCCATGCGCCCGCTGAACATGGCTTTCAGCATGGTGTCCTGCTTGGTCAGCGTCTGCATGGTTGTGTAGTAGAGGGCGCCGCCGACATTGAGCTTCACGTACTTGGAGCTGGGGCTCGTGCCCTTGAAGGAAGTGGTGCGGGTAGCAGCCGCTGGCACCGCTGAGCTCACCACACTTTCTCCTGACATCTCTTCCTGCCAGGGGAGAAGACAGAGAGTCACCAGGGTCAGGGCACGGGGTCTGCTTTACCTCTTTTCAGCTGTGGGCTGAATCTGACCTTGAGCTCTGTTTTGCTTAATCCAAGTATATGCTGACAACTTAGAAAAATTCCCAGAAAAATCTGGATTTTTGGCGTCTCTTAAAATCAAAGGCCAACTGGGGCAGCGGGGTAACAACTGGGGGCACACGGGGTTATTGGCTGCCCCTGGAGGGGCAATCTGCCCCAAACTCCACACCTAGATAGCCTCATGCACTGACCTCGCCTGCTTATCCTATAGGCCCAAGGACACCACGAACTCCTACGACGAGGACTTCCTCTCTGTCCACTACCCATATAAACCAACGCCTGGCTCCATCCTAAACACACGCCCAGGTCTCTGCTTCCTTCTTGCCGCTGATAACAACTAAAAGCACCACCTTGGCTGAACTCCACATGCAGTAAGTTTTCATGAAGCTCCGTGCGCTCCCACCGCCACTCCAAACACTCCCTAGGGGAAAGGTGTTTCTGAGGACCAAACAGCAGGCGGAAAAAACCCTTAGAAGTCGTTTCAAAATTAGAGACTTTTTGTACTGGCACCACCCGAGCAGCAAAATCCTGTGCGCCTTCCCGGCAGCACGGCCAGTTCCCACGGATGTCTCGGCCAGAGAGATGCAAGCAGTGCCTGATCTGGGCAGGCCTGGGGGGCGAGAGGTATGTGGGCATACGTGTCCTCAAAGAGAACATTCCTTAGTGGCCAGCTAAAATGCTACAGCTGGAGAAGACGGTCAAGAATTGGCTGAATCTTTGCTCCATCTGGGACAGCGCTGGGAGAGCAGCCCCCGCGGCCCGGTGCCGGCCTGGCGCCTGCAGCGCGCCTCTGGCTTTCCCGGGAGCAGGAACGAGGTCACAAGCACCGCCGTCGGACAGGGTCACCTCACCAGGTCCAGACACATACCAGAGCCACTGGTAATCATGTCTGAACACCGATGAATACCAAGAACACTGTCCCAAACACAAAAATGACCAAACATTCCCTATCCTGGCTCATGAGTCACTGTGGCTTCTTCACAAATGAGAGCTTTAGCCCCATTTCATTCTTCCCACCTTCAAACCAGGAGTTACTGAGACCCAGGCACAGAACGAGCCTTGCTTCCTGACAGCATCCAATGCAGAGCCAAGCCCCACTTGCCCAAATCCTCCCCTAAATCATCCAGCGCAAGCCCAAATCCTTTGAGACACCCCACAGTTCTCAAGGCAACAAAAAAATCCAACTTTGACTAGAGGTATGTTCCTGTGGTTTTGGCTGGAAGGAACTGACAGCACGAATTTTTAAAAAAATATCTCTTACTATTAAAAAGGGATTATTTTTCCAAAATCTTTATGCCATATTGTCTCATCCAGACTTTCCACAAGGAGTATCCACTGCATCTATACTTGGCAAAAAACACAAATTTTATTTTTTGAAGGAGATAAGGGACTAATGGGTGACAACTGCAGAGGTAAAGCCAACCCTCTCAATCTCCACCCCTCTAAACAGTGGCCTCAAAACCACCGGCTGGGGGGACCGACCCTGCAGAGTGGAAGAGGAAGGATGGCCTCCTGGAAACAAGTGTTTTCTTAAGGATCCGGCCCTGCTTCCTCAAGTGAAAACTGCACTCTCAAAAGCTCAGTCTTAGCTCACCTGGGGTCTCTGTGGCTTGAGGCTAAACATAAAAGAAAAAGACCAACAGGAAGCAGTGACCCTCTCTTCCAGGCCTCCTTTGAAGCCAGTCCCCAGAGTCCAACACTAACAGTTTGCACCAACCATTTCTCCAAGAAAAACCCTTTGTCCACAGGATTCTAGCAGCTCATGGGAACAGAAACTTTTTTTAAAAAAATTGAAGACCTCAAGAGGAAAAAAAAAAAAAAGGTGTACAGCTATGGGGTTTTCTTTTGAGGGGTGGTGTAAGGAGATAAAGAAATTTGCCCCAAAAGGGAAAACATTTTTTAAAGTACCCTTTTCAGGGAAATGTTTTGGAAATGGTCTAGCATTTTGTAAGGCAACTATGGTGTAAGTCAAAGTATACTTCATGTTTTTTCTGTTGTTTGCTTTCCAATACTGTTTCTAAGATATCTGTATATAGTAAAGTATGTTTTAGGTGTGCAGCTTGGTGAGTTTGGGTTGATATATGCATCTGTGTGTCCCCCATTCCAATCAAGCTGGAGAACGTTTCCCTGGCTGCAGGGAGCCCGTACATGCCTAATCCCCCCCCCCCCAAAAAAAAAATACTACTGTTTTCATTTCTACTGCCACTACAACCTTTTCAAATGCAAACAATTCTGGGAGATGGTTATTGTTATTCCCACTTTGTGAATTTTGGATACCACAACCTAGAGAAGTTCAGTCACTCCCCAAAGTGTCTCTGATGGAGGAAGTGAAGGATGTGGGCAAGTCCTGCTGGCATGGAGCCCATGATTTTATCAAAGGTTACTCTTGGTTTATAGAGGGAACTGTGACATATAAACTGAGAAAAAAGGACTGTACTCCCTCCCCCCCCACCCCCATCTTCAGAAAGTACAAAACTCTGAAAAAAGATGGGAGGCACTGTGTGCCTAAGGGCTTGGGGTTGGAAGTCAGGCCCTGGCCCTGCCCTAAAGTTGCTGTGGGAGTCTGGGTCAGTCATCTGAGTCTAGTCCCATCTACCAAAAGGGAACAACAGTGGCACAACCTTCCAGGGTTGCTGTGAGGGCTGCACAGTGCATGCAGCAGGGCTCCCAGCTTGGAGCAAACACTGAGGCATGAAACATTCAGACTATGATCATTTGAGAATGCTCTCAAAGTCTCAAATTATCTTCTCTTTGAAGACTGTTTCCAGCTCTACTGACATCACTGCATTACTAAGGGATAAAGGCAGAAACCTTCCTGATCTTGCTTGGCGCTTCAGAATAGACAAAGTTTTGAATCTTTCCAGAGCCTACCTTTCCAAAGGGTGTGGGAGAGGTCCTCGGAGAAAGGTTTCCAGTTGTGTGAATGGCCCTGAGCCCAAGTTACAGTGAGCTCAGAACACAAGGCAGTTCACAGCGGGCTTCCAAACTTCTCTAAGGGGACCCTGGGCCGCCCCTACTGGAAGCATGCTTTCTAACTGATTTCAAAGGTTTGATCTCACTGCTAATGAGGTTGGGGCAGTAGAACAGGAGAGAGCAAAACTGAATACAAGAAGCGGAAAAGATAATTAATATTTGAGGAGTTTGTTACTGATTCAATTCAATCAAAAAAAAAAAATTCATCCCAGTTAGATGGATAAGTCAAGGTTTCTCTCTTTCCCATGTCCCTCCAGTTGTTTCTAAACAGCAGCTCTCTACGTAAAAAAATACTGTTTGGTCTTAACCACAGAAATTCTGATATAACTGGCCAGAGTCACAGAATTTTTCACTTCCCTAGGTGATTCCAACGTGCAAAGTCGAAGGCTCCTGTTTTAAAGAGTTCTGTATGGCTTAATTATGCTACAATTAACTTCATGGTTTTGGAGAAGCTCCCCAATGTCTTACGCTATTGGCCTAGTGAATTCCTGACTACATAAAACCCTAAGCATCAAAACCAAACTTCACAATTTCAGAGCCTGAGACAGGAAGCACCACTCTGCATGCTTTCAAAAATAAAATCAGACCAAGGAGGAAAACCATTGACTTGAAAGGCAAGTACGATAGGAAAAGGGCACCAAATCCCTTACCCTTGTATGTTTTCTATACAACCTCTGTAGAAATGCCTGCATGTAAGTGTGTGTAAGGTTCAATAGCAAGTTTGGCAAACTACAGTCCCAGTTCCACCATTTCCTTCCTCTGTGATGTTCAGACATGCGGTTTAATTGAGCCTCAGCTTCCTAATTTGTAAAATGAGGAGTTAATTATACAATCCTCCAAGAATGAATGTTAAAGTACTTGGCACCTGGACGTTAGTATTGTTTCCTATCTGTCCCTCAAGCTTTCCTTAAGACCAGAGGTTCCCTGCTGTACTACTATCAGCTGTACACCCTTAAAAAGTTTTGACGCCTGGGCTTCACCCCAGACCATTTAATCAGAATCAGGGAAGGGCGAGGTCAATTTTTAAAATGCTCTTCAGGTGATTTAAACATGCAGCCAGAACTGAAAGCCACAAAGCTGTCTTTTTCACCAGCTATACCTAAGAGTCGCTACCTTGAGGTTAACTATAAAACTTCCCCAAACTGAAAGTATTTCTATAACTCAGAAAAGTCTGCTGCTTAAGTTTGTGCAACCAAACAATATTCAACCAGCCACATAACTATAGCATTATTTTACATTCAACACTCACAGGATTTATAAGGTAGCTACTGCTATTTCTTAAGCAGTTAGAGATAGCCCAAGCTATCGACCATTTCAACAATTAGAACTAAGAATCAGAGTTATGGGTCCTCTCACTCCCTCTCAATCCATGCCCATTTCATTATATAATAGAAATTTTTAAAATCACTCTAATCCTCTGCAGGGCTTGTTAAAACAGATTGATGGGCCCCACCCCCAGCCTGATTTAGTAGTCAGTGTAGGGCCTAAAAATCTGGCCCTTCCTAACAAGGTCGCCAGGTGATTTTCCTGCTTGTCTGGGGGCCAGTTTGAGAAGCTCAGGGGTCAGCCTTCTTTCCCAAGGGTGGTCCTTTTTTATGCAAAAAGTGGCGTCCAAAGTCAGATTGCCAGACTCGTTTTTTCTCCAGCACTGTACTTAGGACGGGTATTCCCGAAAGCCTGCACTTTCTAGGGAGGAGACCTGGCGCAAACAAGTAAAGGGAAGGTCTGTGCTGATAATTTATTCCTGCTCCAGGAGCTATACGAGAAACAGACCCCTAAAGGAGCCGAAGCAAACAGAAACTGCCCGCCGCTGGGAGACATCCCTAGCTCCTTAGGTGTGGCCTTCTGGGCCTCAACGGAAGTGGCTAGCGAGGTCCCCAGGCGCTGGACTCGGAGGAGATGGTCCTCTGACCTCAGGCACCTGGCATCCCTCCGCGGAGTTCCAGGCATAGAACGCGCGCCGCTCGCCCCCACCCTCCCTCCATTTCTTTTCTCCATTCGCCCGTGGGTCAGACGCACCTGAAGCCCCATCTCCAAACTTCCCAGATATCCAGCGACTCCAAACACAAACTTCCAAAAACCCCAACACTCCGCGCCAAGGAATCCCACCCGACCTCTCACGGCCCACCCATTCCCCTTCACACCCCTCCAAACCCGCCCCCCCCAAAGTCCGTGCCCAATGACATCCCTTTGTTCTCTTCACAACCATTTCCAAGAAGCTCTCAAGACTGCGACAACCCCCGACACCCCCCAAATCTCCCCCCCAAGCCCAAATGCCATTTCCCGGATCCCCAACAGTTAGGACCCCCCAATTCTCCACCCAAAGCCCTTCCCCCACCCGTGACCTCGCCCCCATCCACTCTCCCAACCGCCTCTCCCCTGTCGCGACAGTCCCTCATCGCACCCGCTCCTCGCAGTCCCGCCCCCCTCTACGCTGCCGGTACTCGGCTTTCTCGGTCGCCCAGAGCCCCCGGTCGACGGGCACCGCCTTCCTTACCATGAAAAGTCGGAGGACGCCGGAGTCTCCACACCCGGACTGAGAGGCAGGAAACACCCAGCTCGCGCGAGCAGGGGGCGGAGGCGGGCTGGGGCGGCAACTTCCGGCGCTCACACCCCACTTCCGCCCCGCAGAGCGCACCGTCCTAAAGCATCCGTTGTGCCGCTAGGTTTAGGCAGGCGGCTTTCCTTGCAGCCTGCCCTGCCGGAGTGGATTGCGTCTCCGCCCAGCTGGCCGAGGCATTTATCCTGTTCCTGAATGTTCGCAGAGATAAGGATAAGGCGCAGGAAGGTTTTCATTCCCGGCGAAGAAGCTCTGCGGAACTGTGGTTTTCCGGAACTGGATAGTTGCTTCCCGGCGGAGCTCTAAGAGGCAGCACCCCGGGGCAAGATGGCGGTCGAGCCTCGGCCGCTGCCCCGGGTCTGGCAGATCTCGGGGGTGTTGGGCTGAGGCGGCGGTAGCTGTGGCCCCGACCACGAGCGCTGGGGCCTCGAAAGGATAAAGGTCTACACCCTGCGGGTAGCGAGTGGGAACAGGGTCGTGGGTACTCCGGGTGGTGGGGCCGGGGATTTTGAGGGAGGTGGCTTTAGGGCCGGGTCTCAACCTCGCTTGTTTGGAGGGGCAGCTGCTGGGGGCTGGCTTTCGGGCTCCAGGGGATTGCTCCGTGGCCCCTTCCACTTTTTCTCTTTGGGGTGATAGGCCTTTGTAAGTGGACTGATGGCTGGGTGTAAAAGGATTGTTATTGTGGTTGTTGATGCCGAGAAAAGACGCCGGGCCGCAGGAGTCACCCATATCGGAATTCGAACACTATTCACTCGCTGTGTGACCTTGGGTGAGTTCCCTCACCTCTCTGAGCCGCAGTTGCCGCCTGTAAAATGGAGATCTTAGCTCGCTTCACAAAGAACGTTGTATAATACAAGTTTTAGTGCCGTGCCCAACACTCAGCTCTCAAGAAAGGCAGCTGGTGTTGATATCAATAAAGAAAAACTTGGTCGTCATTTCCAGTTTAGCTTCACTGACAGCCTTGCATTCTCAGCTTTTCTTTGCTGTTCTGTAAGTGGGGGGTGGGGGTCCCAGGGTTTTGGTTGTGACTTACAAATAAGTAATTGCTTTGAAGTTAGAGATGGGTCCAAATTCAGGAGCCCAGCGATCTCCAGCAAGTCGTGCCCCGCCCCTTTACATTTCATTTACTCCATGTGAAGGTGGGATTGAGAATATCCCCCATCTCAATAAGCTGTAGCCATCAATAAATGACAGCTGTTATTACTATTAATCTAAGCCCTGTCACCTATTCTTAAGAAATTTGACTGTTGAGACCTGCTAGAGCTGTTGAAGAGACAGTGTAAAGGCAGGAATGGACACTGTGCAGGTTCTCTGATCCCATGCAGACCGGGTAAAGGAGGAGTCAGAGTCCTCAGTAGTTTTGCAGGTCTTTTATTGGTGTTCACCAGGCATATGGCAGGCAGGGGTGCTGGCTGGGGGGCTGGGAGGCTGGCAGGCCTCCCAGCCCCCAGCAAGTCTTTACTCTATCTGGGCTCTCTGGCGTTGGTTCTGCTGCTTCTCGGCTTCTCTTTCGGCTTCTGCTTGGGCTTGTGCTGCTGCTGCTGCTGGTGTCCCCGTGACGCCGCCTTTAAAAGCACAGTCTTAGCTCAGCTGAATCCCATCTACCTATGCCCACACCCTATTCCAGGTGCCCGCCATCAGGCATGCATTCAGGACAAGGATCCATCATCTATCCTGATGGCGGAAGGGCAGAAAAGCCTGATATTTTCTTTACCCTACAGACAGGTTGGTAGATATCTGCACTGTGTTTGGTACATGATCTGCTCTTAACAAATGGTGGTGATTATTAACCCTGCTGCCCAGCTATTCCCACCATACTGGGAGAATCCTCGTGAACTCAGCCAGCAATTGGTATTTATGGCGCTTCATCTTAGGACAATACTTGCTAAAGTGCCATGCTCTTTCCTAGGTGTCTGTGAAGTTAGCCTCATCCCGAAAAGACTGATTTTGAGCAGATCTCCTGGGATTATAGAAATAGAGAAGAGTCCTATCTTGGCTCTGCCCTTATTGGGAGACAACCTGGACTAAGGGAGACATACTAAATGATCTCATAGGATTGCTGCTCTTACTAGACGAGATCTCTTAAAAAGGACTTCATACCCAGTGGGTACCTGACACATTTTCCTTTTTGAAAGATCTTGATTATCACCAAGCTTTGTTTTCTAATCTTTTCCACCTATATCCTTCTTGTTTCCTTAACTGAATTGTGACAATACAGTAAAGACCACTTATATGTGATCTGCTTTCAAATACTCATTAATATTTCCTATTTAATCCTAATCATGTCATCATGATGACTAAAAGGGCAAAAGTTGCTTAAAGTAATCCTTTTAGCAATCTTAGGAAGTAGGTAGTACAATTATTCTCAGCTGACAGGTAAGGAAACTGAAGCATCAGAAGGATAAGTAACTTGGCCAAATGAAGTTCAAGACTAAAAACCAAGGGCTACTTTCTCCAAATGAAGGTTCTTTCTGGTACATATAACCTTTTCTTTAATTTTCCCTGGCATTTAGCTGAGGAGAGAGATGCTTGATTGTGTGTTTTATCTGCTTGGTGAACTGTAATGACACTGTGTGGGTAGAGGAGGTGAATAAGAGAGAATTAGAAAAACTGCAAAGTATAGACCTATCCTATGGTGTAAACAGAAACCAACATAGAGCATTGTGAGGAGATGATAATCTCAAGGAAAGGATTTTATCCTGCAAGGCCCCTTGGGAGAAGTGAAAGTTTTGAGATAGTCTTACAAACCCGACTTAGTCATAGTTGTATATAAGCTCCTGTTTTTCTACTGAGAAAAGGCTCCCCCGTCTGCTTCCCCTGCCACTTGCTCCCAAATGAGAGACCATCTCCACATAAAGGAAAACACATATCATTGTGTTTGTGGCTTGTGCCCTGCTCTTTTGAACTTGAAGCTGTTATTCAACCTAAACAGCACCAGAAGCTCAGCCCAAGTGACAAGATTGGTGAATCATCATACTTCCAGGGGTAGAGAAAAATTCAATGACTGAGGAATGTAAGGATCCAAGCATTATTTCCTACTCAAAGAACCTTAGTGACTGTGCAGATGGGACCCTCTGCTAAAGAGTTATTTTATTTACTTATTTTTAAAATTTTTTTTTCTTAAGATTTTACTATTTATTTTTTGCATAGAAGAACTGGGGTGTAGGCCAGAGGTGTGGGTGGTGAGAAGGTTCACCAGAGTCAGTGGGGAGCAGAGCAGGCAGATTTACTGAAACACACTGTTGAGGGGAGCAGTGGACGAGACAGGAGAGGTCTGTTGCTCCATATGTTGGTTAGTTCCCTGCCCTGGGAATCAAACTGTAACCGTCGTGGTGGGCCTTCACAGTGATAGAGATGAGATTTAACTCTTAGGCCACTAGGGAAGCCCCCTGAAGAGTTATTTTAAAAGACAATCTGTGTCTGTAAATTACACACCAGTTAGACTTAATTGACTTGGCGCTGTGACGGCCACCTCGATAGGTACTTGATATGTATCATCTTGTTTAGTCCCCATGGTCAGACTCTGAGCCAATTAACAGGAAGACAGAAAGGCTGAGACATCTCCCTATAGTACATGGCTGAGCTAGGGACTAACTCCAGCTCTGTGCGACTGCAGGGCATGTTTGGCTCTCACAGTGCTCTGCTTTTTGTGGGAAATTTAGAAAATGGGAAATTAAGGAGGAGAGATTTCCCACAATTCCACTACCTCAGAACAAACTCTCTTAACATATATGTTTTCTGAGTTTCATATCTTTGTGCACATGCCTCTTTTTCATTAATTCACATCATATGGGTTCACAGCTAGTTCTATTTTCACTGCTAAGGCATAAACATTTGCCATACCGTTAAAAACATCAAACATAATTTTTAATCACTTTTTAATATTCCGTCCTCCACTGTTTTTTGCTAACCACCACAAAGTATATAGAGCTTTCATTCAGCAACTTCTTTGGGAATATTTTCAACCTATTCCTTTAAACAGTGACCTGTGAGGACTGGGGAGGTCCAATCTAATATGGATGCAAGTGGCTTTTTGTAAACCTACACAGTATTGCTTGTACTTAGTGACAAAGATATATGCCCTACTTATTAAACTTAATCCTAAATCTGGATATTTTTTCTTCTGCATCTGCCAAAAAAGACAAGTTTCTCTGAGTCAAGGAGCTGCCCTGTGCTGAGCCCTGTGCAGGACCACTAATGATCACCTCGCATTTCTGCAACACGGGCAGGTCCTCAGGTGAGCTCTCCAGACTTCCACTGCTGGGACGGAAAGAATGAATGGTTCCAAAGACTGCTACCATTTTCTCTCAAGTCTGTCTATCCTCTCTGCTGTGGTTGGGTGTTCTTTGTTCATTTGTTTTGAGAATTACAGGTGAGAGATGCATTTGTTGGAAAAGGTTTGTTTAATAGATGTGAATCTGTGTGGAAAGGGACCACACAGGCCCCTTCTATGTTGACATGGAAGGAGCGGTGCATGAGATTTTTATTCTTGATGGTGCTTCTTTGAGTGAAGACACTTTTCCGGCAGTCTGAATTTCTGCATAACTTATTGTACCTTTATCATGATAGATTTTGGATAGAATAACAAAGTTGTCAAGTATCTGGAGGAAACATTTCCGTATGGACAGCTCTGGACTGGTGCTGTGTGCGCTAGGCTGCTGGCCAAAGCTATTCCTTTGGGGAAAAGACAGTTACTGTGTGATTTAGATTAAAAAATGTAATTTAGAACCTCTGACCAAGAAGTGCCAATCAATGAACAGGAGCTATTCCACCCTAAAGTCTTCATCTGTCCTTGACAGGATGGGACAGTGGAATAAGTTAGATTCAAAACCGAATTTATTTTAATGGGTTGTCTTTTATTCTGGAATCAAGTACCCTTTGCTTTAGTGTTAAAAGGCCTTTTTTTTTTTTTAAAGATTTATTTATTTATACAAGCACTGGGTACAGTCAGAAGCACGGGAGGGTGAGGGGATTCACCAGAGCCAGAGCGGGGAACAGAACAGGCAGACTAATGAAATACACTGCTGAGGGGAGCAGTGGACACGGCAGGAGAGGTCTGTCGTGCCATATGGGACCCTCGCCAGCGGCCAGGGATCGAACCGGCGCTGCAGAGGCTGCGGGCAGCTCCCTAGCCCAGCCCTCAACTGCTGCTCCACCAGGGGAGGCCCTAAAATGGCCTTTAAAAAAATGAAAGTGAGGCCTCCCTGGTGGCGCAAGGGATTAAGATGCAGCCTATGAAGCTATCCACAGCCACTGCAGCATGAGTTCGATCCCCGGCCAGGGAGCTACCCACATGGTGCAGTAGACCTCTCCTGACTCGCCCGCTGCTCCCCTCAGCAGTGTATTTCAGTCTGCCTGTTCTGTTCCCCACTCTGTCTCTGGTGAATCCTCTCACCCCCCACACCTCTGGCCTGTACCCCAGTTCTTGTAGGCATAAATAAATCTTTAAAAAAAAATGAAAGTGAAAGACTTTGTTCTGGGCATGAAGTAGGCACCAGTTATTGTGAATGGATGAATAAAATAATAGTAACAATAGATAATCAGCTTGGATTTTTTTTCTTTGGAGTCTTGGCAAAAGAAAAGCTTACTGCTCGGTGTTGGCTTCTCATATTATGGACTTCTCCAGAAAATTCAAACATCTAGGAACCTTTGACTTAGTGGGTGCCTGGCTTAAATTAGAGCTTGAGACATAGTATCAATTCATGCTTTGTTTATTTGTTGAACTATTTTATAGAGCCTGTACTTACACCAGGAGCTTTGCTCATTTTCCTAGGAAAATGTAATTATTTAATACAGGAAAGAGCTTTGCTGGTCTTGGTGAGTTGCATGAAAGGATGAAGTTGGGACTTGTGCCAGGAGAGCTATTAGCACTTGGGAGCGGGCAGGGGGACTGCTTGGTAACTCTCTGCTGCCATCTGAGTCCCTGCCCGCCCTCCCCTCTTGAGCCCCTTGCCGGCTGTGTTTGCCATGTCATGGCCTTCACCTGCTTCTCACCATTTTCCTTGAAGGGTTTGTGCAAGTTTGCAAACATGTTCACCGTTTCTCAGACGTCGAGAGCGTGGTTCATTGATAGGGCCCGTCAGGCTCGAGAGGAAAGGCTTGTGCAGAAGGAGCGGGAGCGGGCAGCTGTGGAGATTCAGGCCCATGTCCGGAGTTTCCTTTGTCGGAGTCGCCTGCAGAAAGAGATCAGGTGGGTCCCAGACCCCTTGGTGCCTTCGCTCTGCTTCCCGTTCATAGCAAGAAAGGCTTTCTCTTATCGAGCTTGAAAAGCCTTCCAGCTGCTGTGAGTTCCTAATTTAAAATGTCCTCTTTTTACCTTTTCCTCCCTAGGAGAGAGATCGATGAATATTTTAAAGCAGGTGATGCTGAGTCCAGTAAAAGAAGCGCACTTTCTGTTTTTAAGATTGCCAGGAAACTGCTGTTCTTGTTCAGAATCAAAGAAGATAATGAGGTAAACTGACAGGAAACATTCATCATGCTTGTTGTCTGCCAGTCTTCTTATATGTGTTTTATAAATATTAACTCATTTAGTCCTCAACTATTCTGTGAAGTAGGATCTGTCACCCTCACATCCTGCCCCTTTTGTTTTCCTGGGACCTGTTTTATAGGTATTCTGCCTTGTGCTGATGGGCGTCCTCACGTCTTTTCACATCGACTGTTATAAGCACTTGCTGGGCTCAGGTGCATATGGAGCCGGCAGGGTGAGCGAATTAGTGAAAGAAGCCATTTGAGGGACAAAGCACAATGCACGTTGTAACAAATGGTGAATAAAAGGCAGGGTAGTAAGGACATCAGGGAGCGTGATGGGGTCCATGTGGCATTCATTGTCCACCGAAAGGGGACAGCTTCTATTTGGCTTCAGTCAATGGTGGACTGACGCCCTGATTTTTTTTTTTTTTTTTTAAAGATTTATTTATTTATTTATTTATTTATTTATTTATTTATTTATACAAGAACTGGGTACAGTCAGAAGCGCAGGAGAGTGAGAGAATTCACCAGAGCCAGAGCGGGGAACAGAACAGGCAGACTGACGAAATACACTGCTGAGGGGAGCAGTGGGCGGCAGAAGAGGTCTGTCGCGCCATGTGGGACCCTCGCTGGCAGCCGGGGATCGAACTGGCACTGCGGAGGCTGCGGGCAGCCCAGCACTTAACCACTGCGCCACCAGGGGAGGCCCACCCTGATTTTTTTTTTAAAGGGGTGCAGTGATAATGCTGAGACTTACCCCTACACCACCAGGGAAGCCCCATCCCAAAGCTGCTGGCACCGGGGCCCAGAAGGAAAAAGCTGGGCAGGATCTCAACCCTTGTGGAGGCTGTAGCCCAGCAGGAGAGGGAAGAGTACCTGGCGGAGAACACAGTCACCTAGCCAGGTACAGGGAGGTAACCCCCATCCACAAAGGAGTGTCATAGCATAGCCACCCAGGGCCACCCTACTTTTAAGGGTGGATCCAGGGTTGGTATAGCCAGAGTGATTTCCAGTTTCCATTTGACAGCCTTTTGCATTTTTTTTTAAATAAATCACCAGAATGGATCCTTTTTTTTTAAGATTTTTAAAATTTATTTTTATACAAGAGCTGAGGTACAGGCCAGAGGGTGAGAGGGTTCACCAGACAGAGCAGGGAGCAGAACAGGCAGACAAGCAAAATACACTGCTGAGGGGAGCAGCAGGCATGACAGGAGAGGTCTGCCACACTATGTGGGACTCTCCATGGCCGGCCGGGAATCAAACCCCCACTGCAGAGGCTGCGGACAGCTTCACAGCGCTGCGCTCAACCCGCTGACTAGAGGGGAGACCCAGCCTTTTGCATTTTAAGATAAAACTGCTAATGTGACCATTTGTGAGGGAAAAGTCAGTGTCCGTAGTGCTGATTAAATGGCACCCAGGAGAGCAGGGTTTAGGAGACAACTGCTAGTCTGCAGGATGCCCAATGCCCATTTGCAGGGGTGGTTTTGCTTTCTAAAGGAGCCCCCATCTGTATTTTATGTGCAGTACCAATTTCTAAAAAAAAAGGTGTAGGGCACAGCCAGCCCATGACCGTTTGAGAGCCCTTTGTTAGCCTGTCTGATCCTCAGTAGCCATACCTCCCAGGGAACTGAAACACAGTGACAGTGACCTGACAGCAGGAGTGCCTGCGCATGCCAGGTGCCACCCAACATTTGCTCCCTGCTCCTTCCCGTTTCTTCATTACTTGTGGGAATTTATAACCTCCATTCTGCCTCTTTGCAGAGATTTGAGAAGCTGTGTCGCTGCATCCTAAGCAGCATGGATATTGAGAATGAACCCAAGGTAAGTGGGGCAAGAGCTGGGAAGTCTCCACCAGCTCTCAAGTCAGCCTGTTTGGCTTTGAGAGTTCCTGTTGCTTGTCAGGGCTTTGTTAACTCCAATACATATGCAAATAAGCAATGGATGGAAAACATTCACCAAGCCAACTCTTCATTCTCTAAGAAGCTGTGCTCTGCTCTGCTCTGGCCTCTTTCTGAGTATGGAAAGTTCCCTTCTCGGCTATTTATCTTTGGGTTTAGGATTTAAATAAGTCGTGTGTGCTGCTTACTCAGCCCTCATCCTCATGCCTTATCTGCACTAGACCCAGCTAATTGGCCCCCATCCAGTAGCCCAGACGTAGTGGTAGGCGTCCTGTGACTAGCCACTTACATTTCTCTTTCTCCTGCTTGTAGGTGTGGTATGTGTCCCTCGCTCTTTCCAAGGATCTCATGCTCCTGTGGGTTAAACAGATCAAGGACATTCTGTGGTATTGCTGTCAGTTTCTTGAGCAGCTCAAGGTAAAAAACAAAAAAATATATCTTTCCCTCGTGGGGCCATTAGTGTGTATTTCCTGTCCCCAGATCCCCTCAAAGGTGATACCTTTGGAGAGCTATCAGCATCTAGTGATGAATTCTTAGAGCCTGTTCCAGCAGAGAGCAAGGTGTGACCCTTCTTTCATGTACAGCGTTTTGACCTGTAATTGACCTGTAATTGCCACAGGCTAGATGCCAGTGAAACTGGTCTTCCTCCCAATCCTTTTGATGTAATGGATACTTCAGAGTCTATTATGATAGAAGATAGGCTTCTTGTGACAAGTGCAGAGACCCAAGTGAGTGTACAAACTGAGCAAGGAAGCAATGTTTTGTGACAGACTATATCCAAAACATGGCAGCCGGGTTTCACTGGAGCCAGTGGCTTCTGGGTTCTCCTTTTTTCTTTCTCTGGTCTTACATCCTTACTGTGGTTTTTTTTTTTTTTTTTTTCCTTTCTTTCTTTCCTCTGTCTTCACCAAAGAAATGGGAGGGCTCCCCCTACTAGTTCCAAAATCTGAGAAGACTCACTAATCCCATTGAGATCCTGGTCTCAGCCCTTAGCTGGTGATGGTGGTGAAAGGAAGGGGTTTTGCTACTGGCCCAACCTCACCTGTGCTGCTCACCCTTGTGTCCAGCAAGATGGGCAGAAGTGCAGATAGATACAAATAGCAGCTGCAGATGCTGGGGCGATATATCAAGGGCAGAGGCTTGGCTAGGACTCAGGTGGCCTGAGCGATGACCAGATGTCCTCCGAGCCCCCCACATTCCATTTGAAAACATCTCTGAAGCCTCTGGTAGCACTGCTGTTTGCCTTGGCCCGGCAGCAAACCATACCCTACTGTCAGATGAGGCATTAGGGCCCAGAGTAGTGGTCTTTACCTCCTGATCTTGGAGCCCTGGGCTTCCACTGAAATGCTTCAGGGCCAAGCAGGCAGGTTCTTCCCCTCCCTTTACTTTGATCTGTTTTCGTGTCTGCATTCCAACAAGAGACTTCTCTTTGGGGCCTCCTTGGTGGCCTAGGGGTTAAGTCTCAGTGCTGTCACCTCCATGGCCTGAGTTCGATCCCCGGCCAGGGAGTTAACCCACATGGCACAGCAGACCTCTCCTGTCTCACCCCCTGCTTCCCTCAGAATTGTATTCCAGTGGATCCACCTGTTCTGCTCCCTACTCTGTCTCTGGTAATCCTCTCACCCCCGCACCTCTGGCCTACACCCCAGTTCTTGTATGCATAAATAAATAAATACTTCTTTTTAAAAAGAGAGAGACTTCTCTTTGACGAGGCTCTTACACTTTGCAAAAATAAAAATAGTTTTTGTGAAGAAGTACACATTAGAAAAAGAGAACACTGAACCGGAAGCCAGGAAGATATGGCCTTGAACAAGTTATTTCCTTTTCCCAGTCTTAGTCTGAAGTTAGGGGTTTGTACTAGACAGTTTTCAGGGTCCTTTCCAGGGGTACACACTGTCAGGTCTCTGAACCAGAAAGGAGTTAGCCTTTTTGTCCAGCCTGCTCTTGCAAAACAACAAATTATAGTCATAATTATGTTAATAACCAGCACTACATGAAGATATCTCTGTACCAGCCATTGCTCTGAGTATTTATGTGCATTAGTGTGTTTATTCCTCACAAGCACCCAGTGAGGAAAGCAGTATTACTATCCCTAGTCAACAGATGCAGAAGCTGAGGCACAGAGAGGTTAAGAAACTTCCCCAAGATCACACATCCAGTAAGTGCTAAAGTCAGAGTCTGAACCAAGAGGGCCTGTTATGCTCAGCTGCATTCCACTCTTGCTCCGCATGCACATGCGCACACACTCACAAATGCACACCAAGCCAGCCAGCCCTGGCTGTTCTTGTTTTCCAGGAATTCCCATTTCTCCATTCCCAGGAGTAATTCAGATTCCAAGGCCCCCTACCAGTTTGCCTGTTATTTCATTCCTGAAGTGACTTATAATCCTGACTCAATTATTTGAGGCTGAGCACGTGCAGAAAAGTTGTAAAAATGATTGTTCCACACCTGGGACCGGAGGTCATGTGTCTTAATCTTGTTCTCTTTATTATTTCCAGCCTGAAATCTTACAAGACTCCAGACTTGTCACACTGTACCTCACAATGCTTGTCACCTTCACAGACACTTCAACCTGGAAAATTCTCCGGGGAAAAGGTCTGTGGGATTTGCTTCAAAATTTTTCTAAGTTGCATTTTCCGTAAAGATCTCGGAAACCTTTTCTTCTTTTTAAGAAGCATTTTCACCACCACGAGCCTCAGGGCAGGCCCTGACACCACAGCAGTGCCCTTGGTGCTACCAGAGAGTGTTCAGTATTGGCTGTCACGTCTTCTTCTTAGAACTTGCGCTTAAAGGCATGGCCCCTCTGATCTCATTTTCCATAATTCCCTCAGCTCCTCAACCTTTTAGTGAAAACAATATTCACTTAATCCTTGTCATTTCATCTGGAGAATTGTTCATCAGCAAGTAATTCTATTTTGCGTGTAGGAATTTGCTTGGTAAAGCTGCCTCCTTCCCTGAATGTTGTACTTAGCTTAAAGTGTTTTATAGATCCTCTTCATTCATCCATTCAACAAAGAGTCTACTATGTGCCAGAGCCTGTGAGCTCTGGAGGTGCAGAAAAGGTCACTGCCCTTGCAGGGTTTTGCCATGCTGGAGCCCTGCTGGCTGCCTGCATGTGCTCATAGAACCTAGAGTCTCTCGGGGAGCAGACATGAAGGAGAGGTTGTATTGTGGCAGCAGTGAGTGGTGTCGGCGGGGCGTGGTCTCACCCTGCTTGTCTGGGGCTTGGGCTAAGAGCTGGAGGGAGGTGAGAGTTCACTGAGCAATGGGGAGGGACAAAACGGAAAGCAGAGGAAGCTGCTGTGCAGAAGGCTCCGAGCCAATGAGGAGGGTTTACTTTACGGCATCATCTTGGGCTCTGGGGCAACCAAAATTTGGTGAGTTCTGGCTCCTACCAGGCTCTGTGTCCTGATGGAGAGAGGAGGCAGCCACAGAAGGTAGAGCGTGCCAGGTCCTCGGAGTGAATTAGAAAGTTGCCCTGGGATGTGACTTCAGGCTAGGGGAATGATAGGACCCGTCTTTGAAGAGGTGACACTTGAGCCCGCCTTCGGGAGAGCTAGAATTCTGGAGATTTGGCATCTCCCTGTATCCTGATATGAACCCTAAGGGGAATAGGAAGGCAAGCCAGGGCGTAACTGGTTTCCTCCGTTCTTGGGCCTAGGGCGGCATTTTCTGCCCCACAAATAGTTCCTATTATAGCCGGAGGCTTGATTTTTCTTACTTTTTTCTTCATTTAGGTGAGAGTCTCCGACCAGCCATGAACCACATTTGTGCTAATATAATGGGACATCTCAACCAGCATGGATTTTATTCTGTGCTGCAGGTCTGTGGCCCTCATCCCCTAACGTGTGACCTCCTTCTCCTGCATTTGAACTTGGAGTTTTACATTTGGTGTCAGTACGTCTGAGGCCCTCCTCACAGAAAGGAGGAATTTTGCAGGAGGAATTTAATGCCTAGTGTCCTTCCTCCTGCCTAGGGTCACTTGTGGCTTGTGTAGAGAGGCAGCAGTGGCCCTGGGATCCCTTTACTGAGATACGTTTTGGTTACAGGGCTAATCGAGTCACTTGAAGTTAAAACTTGGGAGGGGGTTTGTTCCCTGTTTCTTGGTTGGTGTCTAGAATGATCTTTCTAGCTCTGTATCCTCAGTCTTCTGTCCACGCCACCCCTTACTGTGCCAGATTGTACATCCAAGGAATTGTCAGAAGCCTAATTGCTATTTAAGAGCATTGTGGAATAAATCTGCTGGTGTGAGGTAGTCTCTTTCCCGATGTGGTTTCATTTCCCCTCACAGCAGCCCTGGGTGGGGGTGTGCCAGCAAAGCTTCTGTGACCCACAGTCCATCAGTGAGGAAGCTTCTCCTGGACCCTACAACTCTTCATTGCTTCTAAAATCAGAGGGAGTCTCAACATTTTAAGTCTGGCATTCCTTGTATCAGCTGCCATTTTTTTTTTTAATTTAAGCATGATATTTACAGTTAGAGAAAGAAATGTATAAAATGTATAATGAACCTCAGTACCCACTACTTTTCTCTACTTTCATTTTTTATAAACATTCCGATACGGAGTTTTTTGTGAGGCACTCATTTTCCTGTTATGCTTCTTTTTCATTGTACGAATAAGTAAAAAAAAATTTGGCTTCTTGCCCTAACCAATTAGTGTTCTTTTTCAGATATTGTTAACCCGTGGCCTGGCAAGACCCCGGCCTTGTCTGTCCAAAGGCACTTTAACCGCAGCCTTCTCGCTAGCATTGCGGTAAGTAGGAGTGCGTTAGAGGTGTGGCGTGCCCCTGAGGCTTCCTCCCCTTGCCTCTCCTTTCTCTCGTTACCCACAGTAGGTGTGGGCTGCCCACTTTGTCAGAAGTTACAGGAAGTGTTATAAGTGACAGTGAGACATCTGTCACTGCTTTTTTCAGTCTTACTTCATACTCCTGAAGATTTTCACATCATGATTTGAAGGAAGCTATTCAAAATGACTTGCTTTCATTCTGCCAGATACAATTATTTCTCCTTTTGAATTTTTAATTGATAATGTCAGGGAAACCTAAGAGCTGGAGGAGGCCCAGTAGGGCACGGTGAAAGAGTTAAGGGAATAGTGTTATGAACATGCATTTAAAATGTTAGCATTCAGAGAACCAGAGAGGATGTGATATTTTCCTTCACTTAAGCAGTTTGGAGACTAAAGTATTTCCTATTAGAAATTATGCCTGCAGTTCTGAGAACTGCCAGGTGTAAAAAGGTGTGCTTGTTAATAGGTCTAGAACACTCTTAAATTGTTGAGCCAAGTACTAATTTAAGGAGACATTAATAAGAAACTTGACAATTTCAATCCCCAAGATAATAATAACTTGGTGGGGAAAATAATAACTTGTTATGGTCAAGCCAGCTTGGTATAAAAGCAGCCTGCACTGCCCCTCCCGCTCACCCACAGGCACCTGAGTGCTGAAGGAGCTGATGAGTTTCCAGTAGCAAGGCCCTGTGGGTGTGCGCAGCCTGCTGGTGTCCCATACATCACTGGGCATGGAATGCCCTGGCCCAGTTTTTGATGGTGGAGACTGTCTGTCATTATCATGGAATCATTTTCTGTGATCTAGAACATAGGTTGGCAAACCTTTTCCGTAAAGGACCAGCTAGTAAATATTTCCAGCTCTGTCTCTGTGTACCTGCTTCTACAACTGCTCTGCCTTTGTATGAAAAGCCATAGATAGTACATGTATGTCAGTGAGCATAACTGTTCTGATAAAACTTTATTTACAGGAACAGGCAGAGCAGTGAGCAGAGTTTGGCCTGTGGACCCTAATTTGTCAATCTCTGGTCCAGACCGTGTTTTCTACTAACCATTAACCACAGGGTACTATCTAAATAGAAATTTATTTAAATGAAAATGAAGAATTCAGTTCCTCGGTTGCATTGGCCACATAGCTAGTGGCTAAGAGACACATGTGACCAGTGACAGCACATTGGACAGCACAAATATGAAATTTTTCTATCATCATCATTTTTCTATCATCATAAGAAACTTGACAATTTCAATCCCCGAGATAATAATAACTTGGTGGGGAAAATAATAACTTGTTATGGTCAAGCCAGCTTAGTATAAAAGCAGCCTGCACTGCCACAGTGATGATAGAAAAATTTCGTATTTGTGCTGTCCAATGTGCTGTCACTGGTCACATGTGTCTCTTAGCCACTCGCTATGTGGCTATTCATAAAAATACGAATTTTTCTGTCATTATAATGAATAAGACTTATGTAGAGCAGCATAGACCAACAGAAATACAACCGGAACCACATTTCAAATATCAAAAGGAAGGGGAAATTAATAGTATATTTTCCTTAAACCAATGTTTCCAAAATGTTTTTATATAGAATCAAAATTTTTAAATTATTGTCATTAAAATGACAATAATTCTATACCGAGTCTTTCTGGTGTGTTTTACACTTAGCACATACCTGCATTTGGACTAGCCACATTTTAAGTGCTCAGAGGCCGCTCATGGCTGGTGGCTACCAGCTGGACAGCACACCTGGAGGCCAAGCCCTCCTAGCAGAGGAACAGGACTCAACCAGTTTCGCTGTAACTAGTTGTATAAGTACTCAGTCAACAATTAACACTATTCAAACTCTGAGAGAAGTTACATCAACTTGTATTTAATGAGTCACAGCGCCTAGGTATGAACAGGTTTTCCTAGTAGCAGGTTTAACTGTCCTGAGTCACCTTCTGGGGCAGCTCATTCTGGCAGCATCCACCCACTCTCCTCTGTCGGAGGTGATGAAGGATCGGCACACAGGTGCACCAGCTCCAGCACAAGGGCAACTCTGCCTCCTCCTCTCCCCTCCCCTTTCCCGTATTCCCCCCATACCCCCACCCCACCATTATGGTTGTAATTCACAGTATGGTTCAGCAGGAGGTATGCATCTAATCATTCCACTGGGTTTCTTCTCCTTTGAGAATATGTAATAGCATCCGTTGTTTTAGGGTTTTTTGTCTCATATGTTAGAACCCAGTGACTAACTTGTTAAGACCAGGCTGCTGAAAAACCTTTTTCTTAATGCACTTTTCTCCCCCTTTGAATATTTGTATGTGATTGATCCTGACCAAGACCTTTTTATAACTAGTTAGTGAGTGGTTTTGCCATACAGGGATATAAAGTCTATAAAATCACAAATGATATATTTAGACATGGTGAACAGATCCTGTAACACAAGTGGCTAGCACTTAGGCATCACACGTTGTTCTAAGGTTTCTTCACATATTAACTGACACCTCCCCACCTTCTCTTATCTCATTTTATAGCTGAAGAAGCTAAGGCCCATAGAGATTAAGCCACCTGCCCTTGGTCCTACGCAGTGAGTGGCGGGGCCATAAAGAAACCCAGCTTGTCTGACTCCAGAGCCCATGCTCTTTACTCCTTCTCTGTGCTTGCTCACATCATGGACATATTTTAGTATTCTAAGAAAATATTTTTTCAATTATGGCACATGGGAACCTTCCCAGTCTTGCCCTGTTCCATTTATATGAGCCTCTCATTTGCCAGGCTGGTTTCTCTTTCCCTGTGTGCCCACCCAGCTCCCTGGTTGCAGCATGCGCCCTCTGCTGGCAGGGACTGTGCACTGAGCCCTCTTTTACCCTCTTCCCCTGCCCTATATAACATTGCGGCCCACACATTCTCTGTGCTCTGTCACATGTACAACTAGCAGTATATTTATAGAACTTGTCACCCAGAGGAGCTTAGCTGCAACAACTACAACTTGGCTAAACAGAGATTTTGATAACGCATGTTGGGGAAACAGATAGTAGGAAATTGAGGGAACAAAAGCATTTGGTATGTGATTTTTTTTTTTAATTTAAATTTTATTTTTATATTCCCCATACAATTACAACCCCCTTATTTTGACCCCAATCCCTCCTTTCCCCGCCCACCCCCCCATAGAGTGTCTCTGGTTCATAGTTGTTTGTTGATTTGATATTTTCTTTCTTATATTCTTTTTTCTGGTCTCTTATTTAAGTTTTCTGGATTCCTGCTATGAGTGAGACCATCCGGTATTTTTCTTTTTCTTTCTGGCTTATTTTGCTAAACATGATCCCTTCCAGCTCCATCCATGTTGCTGCAAATTGCATGTGTTTATCTTTTTTGAATGCTGAGTAATATTCCATGGTGTATATGTACCTGGTATGTGATCTTTCAAGACTGGCCTCATGCCAAGTAACCCTGCTTCCACGAGGTATCTTTAATGCTTCACTCTGGGGGTGGGGCTGACTCACCATACCTGGTGGTTTGACTCACGGTGGCATCCTCAGGTCCTTGTGAGAGCCCTCAGATAAGCCCTGGTCCTTTACACCCCTATGATGCCATCCTCCCCTTATGTAGAAAGTGACTAGTTCCAGTTTTGGTGGCATCCTCTTGTGGTTTGTTTTTCCTGTCTAGGGAATTTTTAGTCCTGATTTAAACTTCTTTCCAACATGCTGAAAATAGCTTATTCTCTCTTTCTCTTTTGCCCATCTTTGATCAGTGAGTGTAACTTGGTTGGTCCTGCCTCTAGACAGGTGGTTAGTGTAGGCACTGGTTGATAGTTTGAGCAGTTCAGTCTTTTAAAATATTCTTGTTCCAAAAGACATTTAAATTTTGATAGTATGAATACCAGCAACATATCTTCTCTCTGCTATTGAAACATATAAGCTAGAAGAAGTCATTTTGCCCCACAAGTTGTTTTCATGATTTTTTTTCTGTGCAGTCTTTAGGTGGTTTTTTAAATGTCTACTTTATTGACATATAGTTCACGTATCATACATTTCACTCATTTGAAGCATACAGTTAACTGGCTTTTAGTATATTCTTAGACTTGTGCAACTATCACTGCTGATTCCAGAATATTTTTACCACCATAAAAAAAATTCCCAGCCCATAACCTATTGCATTCCTTTCTCATCTCTGAGAAGCCCCTGGCAACTTTCTGTCCTTTTGGATTTGCACGTTCTAGATATTTCACATTAAATAGAATCCTACAACTTAACAGTCTTTGTGACTGTTTCATTGGGCATAATGTGTTCATCCAGGTTGTAGCAAGTGTCCGTATTTCATTCCTTTTTATGGCCTAACTATTTCATTGTATGGATGTAACGCATTGAGGTACTGCCACTTTTTGGGCTGTTAAGAGTGATGCTATGAACACTTATGTACAAGTTTTTGTTGGACAAATGTTTATATTTCTCTTGGCTCTGTGCCTAGGAGTAATATTGCTGGATCATGTGGTAACCGCATGCTTAACTTCTTTAAGAACTGCCAAACTATTTTCCAGAGTGGTTGCACCATCTCATATGCCCACCAGGAATGTGTGAGGGTTCCACATTCTCCACGTTCTTACCAACACTTGTTATCGTTTTTATTTTATTTTTTAAAGAGAGTGTGGAAATGACCTTTTTTTAAATTTTTATTTATTTATGCACACAAGAACTGGGGAACAGGCCAGAAGTGTGGGGGATGAGAGGATTCACCAGACACGGAGTGGGAAGCAGAACAGACAGATCCACTGAAACACATTGCTGAGGGGAGCAGCGGATGAGACAGGAGAGGTCTGCTGCACCATGTGGGTCAGCTCCTGGCTGGGGATCGAACTCATGCTGCAGTGACTGTGGATAGTTTTATAGTGCTGAGACTTAATCCCTTCCACCACCAAGGAGGCCGTGTTATCTTTTTTATTAATGAGTGTGGAGTAGTCTCTCACTGTTGTCTTGATTTGCAGTTCCCTGATGGCTAATGATGTTCACCATCTTTCATGCTTATTAAGCTTTCATGCATCTTTCTTCGAAGAAATGCTAGTTAGATCCTTTGTACATTTTAAAATTGGGTTGTCTTCTAATGTTGAGTTATATGAGTTCTTTATTCTGGACACAATTCCTTTATCAGATATATAATTTGCAAATATTTCCTCTCATCCTAAGAATCTTTTCACTTTCTTGATAGTGTCTTTTGAAGCAAGAACATTTAAAATTTTAATTGTGATTTTTGTGTCATATAGAAGAAGTCACAAAGATTTACAAAGTTTTGTAGTTTTAGTTATAAAACTAGCATTTAGGTCTGTGATCCATTTTGAGTTAATTTTTATATATGGTGTGAGGTAGGGGGTCATCATTTGTTTTACATATGTCTTTTATCTCTTGATTTGGGAAGTATTACATGCTAATGTAGAAAACCTGGAGATATATATATATATATATATATTTGTAAATATATATATTATAAATATATTTATATACATGTATTTGGGAAGTATTACATGCTAATGTAGAAAACCTGGATTTTTATATATATTTATATATATATCCAGGTTTTCTACATTAGCATGTAATACTTCCCAAATATATATATATATGATGAAGAAAAAATGTCTCTCATGGTTCTACAACCCAGAGATACATTGTTAATATTTTTTCATCTGTCTTCCAGGTCTTCTATTAAATTTGTATATATGAATATATGTGCTTTTATACATATTTAAATATTAATCATAGTACACACAAATATATTTACATCTGTATCTATATACATACACTTAAAAGGAATGGCTTGATTGAACTCTGAGTTATTGGTGAGTTATCACACAGTAAACACACCTGTGTAAGCACCAGCCCAGTTGAGAAGTAGAATAGCAACAGCACTCCAGAAGCTCCTTTCCCTCCCTCTCACTCATGACTCCCTCCTTCCTGTCCCGTGTATGTAGTTTTTTTATACTGCTTTTTTTTTAAAGTTTATTACAGTGTGCCTATTCTCTCCTGTCAATAAAACTTCAAAACTGACTCTCCATAGCTGCATCATAGGGCTGTACTGTCATTCCACCATTCCCTAGAATGTCCCCATTTGCAGCTTTTAGTTTTGCTAGAGGTCCTTTGACGCCACATTTCAAGGTATTTGAGGGGCGTTGGTAGGGTTGCTCTTTTGTTCCAGGTTCACTCACCTACCTGTCTGAATAAGGTCATCTCTCTGTGTCTAGCCCTGTGATTGCTGCACAATTTTCAGACAATCTGATTCGGCCATTTCTCATCCACATCATGTCCGTGCCTGCTCTTGTGACTCATCTCAGCACGGTGACCCCTGAGGTAAGTGGGGTCTGAATACCCCTCCAAAAATCGCTTCCATTTTTGCCTTCTTGGAGAAATTAGAAAGTATTTTCTCTGTTAATTTCTACCTCTTCTAAATTTTTCTTCCAAATCAGCAGCTACTGTAGACATGTTTCATGTTAATACTCCAGAGAAATAGGATCTCAGCTTTGTCCATTTTCTTCTTGGTGATCCATTGCACATTTGGCAACAAGGGGGTGATCTGTAGGTGATCAAGTTTATGCTTAGTGGGAAATTCTTCCTGTAAGCTTCTGCTTTAATAATTTTCTATCTTGCAGCGCCTCACTGTTTTAGAATCTCACGACATGCTTCGTAAATTCATCACATTTTTGAGAAATGAAGATAGATGCCGAGATGTGTGTGAAAGTTTAGAAGGATGCCACACCCTTTGTCTGATGGGTGAGTATATGCAGCTGGAGTCTGGGCATCGGGGAAAACCCAAGTGTTTCGCTTTCCACCATTAAGGAGATCACCAGTAAAAATTGGAAGTGTTTACTATAAAAAACATGTATCTAGATAGTTTAAAGAGACACGTAAAATATACTGCGTGGAAAATCTATTAACTAGTCAAATGACCTTAAATGAATGTTCAATACCAGCCCTTAGCTTCCAAGGGGCCAAAGGAAAAATGAAAACACTGTATGCTATATACACAATTTTCATTTCAAGTGAGAGAAGGGGCTTAAGATCAGAGTAGGGCCTGCTTCATCAATTTTTCAATATTTTCAGTGAGGTGGGAAAAAGTTTTGTAGAGAAAAGCGTTTGAAAGCAGTGGACATAATTCTCATTGCCTAATAAGAAGAAATTAATTTTAAAGATATAAACGTTCTCTGGGCTAACTTTAAAGGGAGTATATGGGAAGAGTTAGGAATACTAAGTAAATCTGGTGAATATTGAATACCAGTGATTTCCCAGGACATTCAGATATTCTTCAAAGGGTCATTGATGGTGGCCCTTGATTATAAAATGATATAGTGATACTAACAAAATATCACATAGCTCTGTGTGCCTGACATTCTACATGTTACTTCCTAGAATTCTCACATCAAAGTGGGGATGATTATTCCAGTCTTATGTAGATGAGGAATGAGATTTGAGGTGGATGGAGTCACACAGCTTGTCAGTGCAGAGCCAGGCTGAGATGTCAGGTTGCCTATTTCTTGCCCCTGCAACACACTGCCACTCCCCACACTGACAGGCGCCCCACATGTGGAATTTTTTCTTGCACATAGACATGCGCCTGTGCCACAGGCAGAGAGCAGGCTGGGAGGGGACCAAGTGCTCTGTCTGGCCTGGTCACACTCAGCCTTCTTTCTTCGTAGGCAACCTCCTGTCCTTGGGCTCCCTCAGCCCCAGGGTGCTGGAGGAGGAGACAGATGGGTTTGTGAGTCTGCTGACCCAGATGCTGTGCTACTGTCAGAAGTATGTGTCCCAGAAGAAATCCAACCTGACCCACTGGCACCCTGTCCTGGGCTGGTTCTCCCAATCCGTAGACTATGGGTGAGTCCCAGAGTAAACCACATTCTGTCCTGCCTCTTCCATTCCTCCTCCTCCTTCTAGCTTCTGTTGTTTTGTTTCACATTACAAGAGTAACACATACTCGTTGTATAAAATATGACTAATACAATAGAAACTGTCCCACATCCTACTACCCAACGATAGCCTGTGTGTACACCCTTTAAGTCTTTTTCCTACCTATCAATATCAATGGTTTTCATAACCCCTATCAACATTATCTTTTCTTTTTCAGTGTTACTTTCATGAGTTGCCCAGACTGTCATATTTTGGAGATACTAAAAGAAAAATGATTCAAAGAATCATTCCTGATCCTTTCAAGAGATGAAATATAAGTTTCTAAGATTTTAATTAAGACCTCAAGAATGTTAAAAACACTAAACTAGATAGGGATGATCAAGCAGTATCATGGATTTGATAAAAAAAAAAAACATGTGCCAGACTGAGATGAAGGGGGTCTCGGGGGCCCTGCCAGCTGTTTTCCTATCAAACATGTGCCTGGCACCTGGGGCCCTGATGGGTGCCCTTGAGGCAGCAAAGTGAGACCAGGGAAGGAAATCCCTGGATTTTTCTCCCTGTTACTCATACCAGAGTGTCATCCTGTTAAAAGACTCCTCAGGGGAGGAAAGCCTGCCCCAGCTGCAGAGGATGGGGTGTGGGGAGTTGGGAGGGAGTTTCTGGGAGAGGGTGGCAAGGACAGCACAAGAGGGACCCCTGCTCTCAGCTCCACTGCCCCTTCTCTGAGGGACTTTAGACAAGTCCCTTCGCCTCGCTTCCCACATCTGAAACAAGGGGACACTTTTCTAAGTCCCTCTGATAAAGTCATCTCAATGATTGAATGAGACTGTGTGTGTGAGAGGGGCCTGCTGCTGGACCTGGCCACCGTCGGATGGTAGCTGTGACCACTGCAGTGCTGGAAATGTGAGGGGCCGTTCCGGGGTCTTGAGCAGGGACGTGATGGAGGTGGGTTTCGGGGGTATGAGTCTGTTGCAGGGCTGCAGTGTGGAGTGGAGAGAGGAGCACTTGAAGCAAAAAAACTAGGGTCCTGGTGAGTTGTGGATATTTGTGGCCTGGGCCTGCAGGCCAGCTGTGAGGAGCAGGACAACACAGCAGGCACAAGGTGGCATTTGTCAGTGGGGTGGTAGGCAGGATGGAACCCGGCTAAAGAACAGATAGGGGGTGTCTGGGAGCTGACCATGTATGTGAAGACTGGGGAGACCGCTAATGTGGTGGCAGCACAGGAAGTCGGGGTAGAAAACGACAGAGAAAGAGAGAGGTTAGCACCTTACACGTCCACTTTACTCTGATGATTATCTTATGGGCTATGTTGAGTGGGGGCCCTGGCATCCCTCGGCGGAAGGCCCCTCCGGGAGCCAAGCTGACCATCTGTCATGTGGACTGACGCGCTAGTCTGCTGCTCTCTCCTAGCCTCAACGAGTCAATGCCCTTGATCACCAAACAGCTGCAGTTCCTGTGGGGTGTGCCTCTGATCCGGATCTTCTTCAGTGACATCCTGAGCAAGAAGCTGCTGGAGAACCAGGAACCGGCCCACGTGCAACCAGTGTCCCCACAGAACGTGCTTCCCGTGAAAAGTGAGTGGCCAACTGTCCTTGGCTGAAGTATTGTTCCTGGTGGTTCCTGGGTACTGCACCCCTTGTTCATGTGACACTCTAACTTGTCCCAAAGATATCGATGCCGCTTAAATCAAGTTTGCATTTAGCAAGAGTGACAGACAATCCGTAGGAGTAGGAAACAAGGCCCAGGGAAATATAGGTGAATAAAATCAAGGTCGGGTATAGGGGAAACACATCTACAGCCCCTCCACGTATGCTACTATGGTTATCTCTGAGCTTCCATTTGGCTCTGAACTTTCTAGTAACCAAAATACAAAAGGATTTTTGCATTTATTTTTCTACCTATTCACAGAAAGAGCTGTTTCCTAGGGAAAATAAGTGTTTTTCTGGTTTCTGATTATAGGGGTTACTCATAAAGGAGCCACTGAGTCACTGGCCAGGTGGCACCCCTATTGCAGGGTCAGTGACAGGTGCCAAGGAAAGACTTCTTGTTGGCCACTCTGAGGAAAGGTCAGGCCATGCTGCCGCCACGTCATTGTGGGGTTCCCTGCCTGTGGCAGATTGCCAAGTCCAGGGTGGCTTTAATCTTAGAACACCTAGTGTGTCGTAAGGCTCCTTCTAGATGCCATCCGTGAACGTGGGCTCATGAATATATTGGGTTGTCAGAAAAGTCGTGACGTATTTTTTTCTGTGAAAAACAGGCTGTTTTAGCAGTATATAAATGGGAAGGTTTAAAACAGAAGTAGAATAATCAAAGAGAGGCAGAATACGACCTCATACTAAATATCAGTAATTGAGACTGACATATCTACTTCTGCCTAAAAGCGTAGAAAATTGGGACTCAACCAGACTCCTTAACTTTTCTCCTCTTCCTCTAACAGTCCTTGGGATTTTCACCTTTGTAGGTGCTAAAAATCAGAGGTATGGTACAAGAGTCCCATGTAAGAGTCAGATATGCCTGGCTTGTTCTGAGAAATTTTCTGATTCTCTGAACAGGTCTTTGGGTTCTACCTAAAACCGTATTGCTTTTCTAATTTATCCCAAAGAGATGACTTGAATCAAAGCAGCAGCCCCACTGTCTGGCTCAGCTGTCACTTGGAGCTTTGTTGAAATACTCTTACCTTTGAAGGGTGGAATCTGGCAGATGGCTCAGCTTCTGCTCACACATTCCTTCTTCCCCTGTGCCAGATCTCCTGAAGCGTGCGTTTCAGAAGTCTGCATCGGTTCGGAATATTCTCAGGCCTGTTGGGGGGAAGCGCGTGGACTCTGCAGAGGTCCAGAAGGTCTGCAACATCTGTGTCCTCTACCAGACCTCGCTGACCACCCTCACCCAGATCCGGTTACAGATACTTACAGGTTTGCAGTCCCACGGTGCTTCTGTCGAGTCTCTTAGCAACTTTTCTTAGAAAAAGTTGGTTTCCCCCTGCTTTCCTTGCCCAGAAAATCGATTCTGAGGAAGAGTATTTTTGAACCATTGTCAGAGGTCTTAAATCGCTCCAACTAACCTTAATCCAAGCACTTCCAGTTCGTCCTGTAACCTGGCTCTTACTTTCATTATGAAGCACAATTTGCTTTGAAAAAGTTATTTTTTTCTGAATAGAAAATTTTAAAAAGGCAAGGAAACAGGAGAAAATTTAAATCAGCCTTAATCCCACAACCTGAAGATGACCCCGTGCCTGCGTGTGCTCCACATACACATACACGTGCTGGGATTGAAGTTCAGAGCTTTATCCTGCCCTTCCTAGTAATCACTTTAGAAGCATTTTATCATGTCAGAAATTCCTCACAAACTTCATTTTCATTGGCTGCATAGTGTCTCATTGCATGAATGTGGCCAACATTTTCATTTTTCATGTGAGCAAGGAAGAAAGTCCCCTCTGTGAACACAGAATTGGGTGTCCAAGGCTTTATAGCTGCAATGCAGGTGCCAGTGGTATGAACTGATATTATCAGGACAGAAAATCTATAGGCCATGAGGTTGTTTACTACATAAAGGGATTAGGAACTCTGCTGCATCTCACATTTGATAAAATCATAAATTGCTGCTTCTCTTTCATGCTTATTTATTCATCTCCAAATACCTTAGAGAGCCTCTACATGTGCAGGCACTGAGGATACTGAGGTGACTAGGACAACCAGGTCTGTGTTCCCACAGGAATTTTGTTCCAGTAGTGGGGAGACCAATAGTAAGCAAATGAAAAATGTATCCGTATGACAGTGAAAATAACAAGAGACAGTGTTGGCTTGGACTTGAGCAGGATTTCTCAGACTTGGGACGGTTGACATTTTGGACAAGGCCATTCTTGGTTTTGGAAGCCACCCTGCCACTGTCAAATATTCGTTCCTACCAGAGATGCCAGTAGCACCTCACTCCCCCGCTTCCCAGTTATGGTAACCAAACATGTGCAGACATTGCCAAATGCTCCTTGGCCGGGCAAAACTATCCCTATTTGGAAACCTATTTGGTGTAGTGATGGAAATGGAAGCAGGAGGGTTTGTAGTGTCTTTTATAGATTTGGGGGAGTGAGGACTGAAACCCTCAAAGATGATGCCAGATTTTTGGCTGCAGCAGCTGTGTAGATGCTCGTGACTTTTCCTGAGCTGGGAATGACCAGCCTGGGGTGGGGCTCGTGGAGCCTGGAACATTCTATCCTAGCTATAATGGGTGTGAGGAGCCCCCTGGACCTCAGCAGAGGTGTAGTCAGAAATACGAGTGCACAGGTGGGAGAGCAGCGGCCAGGTACGTGAGCAACAGAAGGTGTAAAGTCTTGGGATGGGGGCAGATTCCCTGAGGAGAGTGAAGAGGTAGAAGAGAAGGTGCCAGTACTGAACCTAGGTATCCCTTCCCCCAGTGTAAGGACTTGGGAAATCTATTGAAAGAGATAATTTTGAGGTTATAGCCAGTGTCCAACTTTTTAAGGTCATCACAGATTTAAGCATCCCCCATTATTCCAATAAGAGAATCCATAAAGAAGTTTTGTGGCCAACTTGAAAATAAATGTTTTTAAAAATGAAGATAAGCTGGTCTCTAAGTGTTACGTGTAATAGTCAAACTATTGGTATAGCTATACACAATTCAGACTGTGGAAAATAACAGTCTACTAAAAATGCTACTGGTTTTCTACTTTCACAATTTACGAAGCATCTTCACATGCATGGGGTAGCCTGGGCCACGCGCTGCAACTCTGACACAGCTCTGCAGGCACAGCACCTTCATTTCTACCTGAGTTTCTGGGGGTGCAGCCCGTGATGGACCTGTGTATGAGACTGTAAGTGAATATTCTCATCCACACCTCAGGGTCCATTCACCTGTGAGGGAGGTTTCTTTTCTTCTTTTGTCCTATAGAAGTTTATTTGTGATCACCACAATGTAACTACTTACTCTGCTGCTAATTATATAGTGAAGCTTCTACATTTTATAACCATATCCTATTACCCTTGCAAATGTGAGGTCAAGCTTCTAGGAATAATAACCAAATGGATGTTACATTTTTTTTGCTGCCTTTGTAATTCCTGCAGTTAACCCTTAAGCATCCATAAAGGGCACTGATTGTGCACCTGCTCCTACCCCCAGATTATCTTTGCTCAAAATTAAGTAATCCAGGGCGCCCCATAAAAGGAGAGTTACTATAAGGCTCAAATGTTAGGTGACTCCCCCTTTTCTGAGGAATGATTTAAGGAACATACTTTACTGCATATTATGTGACCCTAGGAACTTCCAAGCTGGACTATCTTAAGTCAGTGACTACATTGATGGATTTAAAATCTTTCACTGGTGTAGCTGGTGTGTCAGAGGCCTTGTAGCCATCAGGAAGAAGACTTAAAATGTCCTCTGCCTCATCCAGGGTTAAATATTTGTCAACACTTGACAGTATCTCTGTTGCAGTCACTGTTTTCCCAGAGACACAGTAACAGAAGCAGATGAGAGGAAATCCCTGCTAAACGTGGGTGAGTCTGCAAGAGAATTCACAGCAAGGACAGCAAACAAAAACCTGGCACACCACTTGCTTTTGTAAATGAAGCGTTCTTGGAGCACAGCCACACTTACGTGTTGTCTGGCTTCTTTCATCTGTGGTGGTGGTGTCGAGTGGTTGTGACATACCGTCTCCCCCGCAAAGCCTAAAAATATTTACCCTCTTGTCCTTCCCAGAAAAAATTTGCTGATCCCTGATTTAAAGCATAAACTCTGAGTCAGTCAGACTTGGGTTCTGCTCTAGGTTCTGACACTTAGTGGCTGGGTGATTTGGGGCCAATCACTTAATCTCTCTGTGATTCCTCTTCCTCCTTTACAAAATGGTGATAACATTGGGTTTCACAAGGTAGAAAGGAGATAATGCAGGCAGAGTTACTTAGAATGGCATCTGGCACAAGTAAGCACCCATTAAATAAATGCTAGCTATTGTTTTTCTCATGGTGATAATGATTTTTTTAGTAATTGCAATCTTTCTCTTGTACACATTAACTGTTCACTAATAGGCTTAAGCATTTTGTTTTTGTACTGGGTAGGGGAAATAATGGATGGAGCCCCACCTGCAGCTTGCGTTTCTTTATCCTTTCCAGGTCTCACTTACCTGGATGACCTGCTCCCCAAACTGTGGGCATTTATCTGTGAGCTGGGGCCCCATGGGGGGTTAAAGCTCTTTTTGGAATGCCTCAACAATGACACTGAAGACTCCAAGCAGCTCTTGGCCATGCTGATGCTGTTCTGTGACTGCTCCCGGCACCTCGTCACGTAGGTTAACTGCGGTGGGGCTGAATCCCTTTCCTCAAATGTGCAGAGACCAGATTACAGTGTTGGAAGCAATGACCAGTTTGGGCCTGTGTGGCAGGGCCGCTAGAAGAATTAGATGAGAAAACATTTATGATGTGGGTGGCCTGTAATAGGGGTTCCGTAGTTGTCAGCTTCTCTTTCAGGGGAGCTGGTTCAGTACCACCAAGTGTGGGCTTTGGAATCTCCCAGAGCTGGATTCAAATTACCATTTACTTCCTGTATACCTTGCTAAAACATCCAGAGTCGGAGAACCAGGGTGTAAAATCTGGCTTACCCACTTCCTAAGGCACCCTGGGCAAGGAAACTAGGGACTCTACCTCTCGAGCCTCAGTTTCCTCATCTATGGACTAGAGTAACAATAGGCCTGCCTCTCTGCCACATGATAAGAATAGAAGAGATAATGCCCACAGAGTATTTAGTGTTATCTTTGGCACTCAGGAAGAACTCAGAACTATTATTCTTAACCATCTTTATCAAGCTGGCCCTGGACAAGTTGTTTAACCTCTGTAAGCCTTAGTTTCTAATCAGTTTGACAGTCTAATAGGGAGTGAATGAAAAACAAATGTTAAGTCCTTGGTACAGTATCTGGCACAGAGTGAGAAATTGACAAATGTTAGTCCCATTCATAGCCTTTGTTCTTTAAACTTAAGTTCCTACTTGTGTACCTGGTATTCTTTCATTCCATTCACCCCCACCCAATTTGGTGAAGAATTGTAAGATAGAATGGCCCTTAGGTGGTGATGTTCAGACATGGCAGGGGGCAGGGGGTGGAGGCAGGGAGGTGGCAGATGAGGTAAGAATCACAGCGGGAGGGGCTCGCTGATCAGCTGGAGATGAGATGGGAGACCTGTAACAGCTGGTGAAGACACCACCCAGTGGCCCAGGATGGAGTCGAGCTCTGCAGTGAATGGAGCAGTTTGAAGAAATTTTGGATAGAGCTATATCTGAAATGATTCACTTAGTCATATGTTCTTTCAGATACTTTATTCATTCACAAAGACACAATAAGCGCCTAGCAAGGCCCATTAGTGTCTGTTATAGAGAATAAGATTCCTCACCTTTCCTCAGTAGACACAGACTCTTGCTTCCAATTCCTTGATATTCAAGCATAAATTAAGAAAGTTCTATTTACTTTTCAAGTAAGATAAACAGAATAGGGCTTATTATTATTTTTTTCTTTCTTGGTTTTGTATTTTTAAACCTTTTACTATGAGCAGTTTCAGGTAAGTAGAAAGTGGACAGAATAATGTGAAGCCTTACGTGCCCATCACATGACCAGCTTCCACAGCTCCCAGCCCGTGGCCCGGTTGCTTCGTCTCTAACACTTCCCAGATTATTGTGATCCTTGACAGCACATCATTGTGTCTGAATTTGATCTAAAGTTAGAGCCTATTCTAACACCTTATGCTATGTGTCTAGTAAGAGGTACAGATCTCATTTTCCCCCCTTTTCTCAGTGTGAAATTGTAGCTAATTTTCTGTTTTAGGATCCTTGATGACATTGAAGTTTATGAAGAGCAAATTTCGTTCAAACTGGAAGAATTGGTCACCATCTCCTCTTTTCTGAATTCCTTTGTGTTTAAAATGATCTGGGATGGAATTGTAGGTAAGGTAAAGACATTAGCCATCGGTTAAGTGTCTGTAACAGCTGATCCTTGGCATCATTGTATACAAAAGTTAATTGAAAAGGCACATTCGTTTACATAATTAGATGTTTTATTTCTTCACTCTCTGATCTCTTAAGGTAGTAGTGTGGTTATGAAAGTCTTACTCCCCCAGATCCTTCAAGATCTACATTTGTGTGTAAAGGGTTATTAATGATGATTACTTTTGCTCTGAATCTCCTTTTGAGTCTTTGAATTGATTTCCATGAAGATAAACACTTTGCCGGGTCATGTTTTAAACTAGAGTCCAGCCTCCAACGTGTCTCCCACTGTTCAACACCAAGTGCCTTAGATTAAAAGGAACTTGGGGCCTCCCCAGTGGCGCAGCGGGTTGAGCGCTGTGCTGTGGAGCTGTCCGCAGCCTCTGCAGCATGGGTTTGATTCCTGGCTGGCAAGGGAGATTCCCACATGGCAGACCTCTCCTGTCTCGCCCACTGCTCCCCTCAGCAGTGCTTTCATTCTGTCTGCCTGTTCTGCTCCCCGCTGTCTTATCTGGTGAATCCTCTCAGGCCTGTACCCCAGTTCTTTTATAAAAATAAATAAATCTTTAAAAAAAATAAAAGGAACTTGGATGACACTAGGGGGAGGCAGTGTGTGTGACTGTGTCGAGACACTCAGCTCCTGCAGACACTTGGAGCATACCCAAAGGTGCGTTTTAATTCCATCGGTTCCCCATCAAATTCCGAGTGAGGGAGATGGAGAACTTGATGGAACGTAATAAAGAAAGGAGACAGAGACTGTCCTTGCTCTCCTGTTGTGATCATGTCCATGAGTGTGACTATACAGGTTGTTTGCCCTACAGAGAATGCCAAGGGAGAGACCCTGGAGCTGTTCCAGTCTGTCCACGGCTGGCTGATGGTGCTCTACGAGCGGGACTGCCGCCGGCGCTTTGCTCCTGAGGACCACTGGCTGCGAAAGTGAGCATCGGGGTTGGGAGGAGGTGTGTGGTTCAAGCCAGGCTCAGGTGGGTGTGCAGGTTCATTGTGGATTGGGGCAAATGGGTAAGGAATCTTGGACCCCTTGGTAGATTTGACAGGCCTTGAATGCTGAAGCAGGGAGGCTGGGAGGCTGGCAGCACCTGAGCCTTCCAGCCCCCACGATCTCTGCGCTTTGTCTCTCATAAAGATCTCTGTCATAATGGTCTCTCGACCCAGGCATCCGTACTTATAGGTACGCACGCCCAGTGCTCTCTGGCTTCTTGGCCCAGGTATCTGTAATCTTCAGTGCGCATGCCCCATGCTCATGCTGCTCAGCCCGGGTCCGTGCATGCCATGGGTAGCAGCTATAGAGGCTCGCTGCAGGAGGCAAAAAGGAACCTGACCCACTCCATTTTCTCTACAGACTGTATGGAAGCCAGAGTGCCTCTGCCACACCCTGGCAGTGAAGTACTTGTCAGCACTGACCACCTGGCAGTTGCTTATGCTCAGACTTGCTTACAGCAAAGATTACTAGGGCTCGTGAATGGTAACAAAGCCAGCTCACATCTAGTAGATGTTTATATTCAGCTGAACTGAGCAGCAGGTTATGATAGTTAAATGGCAGTTTTATCAGCAGGGTAGAAACTGCAGCAGGCTTTTCCAGGGGTGGGAGTGGGTGGGAGGAATCTTGCAACAACTAAATATAAGATCGAGTCTGATTTTTATCAATAGCGTGCCTTGGGTAACTCTTAAAGCTGCGGGGACTGGCAAGCTTCTTTTGTAAAGAGCAGGCGGTAAACATTTTAGGCCCTGCCTGCCAGCCTTGGGGCAACTGCTCCACTCTGCCACTCGCAGACATAGTACTAACATGAATGAGCATGGTCATTAAAACTTGATTTACAGAAACAGCAGCAGGCTGGTCGTGGCCCCTGGAATGTGGTTCGCCAACCCCATGCTAGAGAGTGGCTTACTTGTTTTAATTATACCAATCCTGCATCTTTCTTTTTAAGAGATCTCAAACCTAGTGTGCTCTTCCAAGAACTTGACAAGGATAGAAAACGGGCGCAGCTGATCCTGCAGTACATCCCTCACGTCATTCCTCATAAAAACGTGAGTAGGACCAGGTTCCTAGCGTGTCTTTCTATCCCAAGGCGTGGTTCCAGACTTTCTGTCTTTCAGTAAATGAAATCAGTTCATTCAGCAACTGCAGACAGCGACTGGACCTTATTGTGTACCAGGTCTTCTGCTCAGTACTGGAGAGACAGGTGCAGGGCTGTGCAAACTGACCTTCAGACTGGGTTGGGATGTGTGCTATGGAAGTGGATGCCGTGGGACCGGACAGGGGTGTGGACTGCTGGAGTTGGGGAGGAGCTCAGGAGAGCAGCTGTGTTTATAGGCCTGGGGTGAGAGACAACGCTCCAGAAGAACCAAACATCTGACAGGGGAGAACACAAAGGAGAAAGTCGAGAAATGAGATTGAGGTTTGTAGGTCCTGGAGCAGGAAGGGCCTTGTACACCAAGGGCTGGAGTTTGGATTTTGTCTGAAGCCATTGGTGGGTTTTAACAGAGCTTTGAGTCCCCTGGTCTGAGAAGTGCTTTAGGAAGCACCTTCTGGCTATTGTGTGGAGGACAGGCTAGACATGGAGGATGTGGTGGTAATCTCACTGGACTCGAGTGGGGCACGGGTGTGGAGAGACAAGAAAGCCAAGAGATTTTTAAGGAGGCACCTTCAGGCTCTGGGAATGATACAGAGGAAGGAATTCAGGTGATGATGCTCAGGTGTCTAGTTTGTTAGCAGTGACAAGCCTGAGGTAGGGGCACAGGCAAGAGCAGGTCTGGCAAGTGGAGCTGAGGCCCACTATGGGCAGGCAGCATGTGAGGTATCTGTGGCTCCATGAGGCCAATGGCCACATGGGTCAGGAACTCAGGAGAGGGGTGGGACTGGAGGTAGACTCGACATGTGGACAACACCCACATCTCCTCACTGCATTCATCGTCACGGGCAAGGTGGTCAGGGAACAGACTGATGGGGAAGACCCGGAGACTGAGGCCAGAGCCCCGAAGGACTCCCCTTAGAGGCCCAGCACAGGAAAGCAGGAATCAGAGAAAAGGAGCCAGGAGGGTGGTGTCACCCACCTGAGTGAAGTGAGGGACTTGGGGAGGGTCAAGTACTGTGGCGAGGGCATCCAGGAAGCAGAGCATTGCTGGTGTAGTGCCTGGACTCCTGACAATGCTTTGCTCTCTCAGAAGAGGCGCTAAAGAGCCTGGCTGTGCCCTTTCTTTCCTTTCTGTTTTTTTAAAAAATAGATATTTTTAGAAAAGCAGAGATCACATTTTTCTAAATCAAATCTCTCTTTTCAGAGATACTTGCTTACTTTCTGAGATCATTTTGACCTTGACATTACACTTACGGTGCCGTTCATTACCCTTGAAGCAGTGATTCACAAGTGAAGGTAGCTGTTTAAATTCTTGACAGCAGAGCCTCTCAGAAACCAGGGACCCTGCAGAGATGACTTAGTCAAAAGTGCCCTCCATGAGGGTGCCCCTTCAACAGTACCCCCGACCTTGCCTCAGCGAACTCGAGGCTTTGAGCAGTGGGTGTCGTATGTTTGACTCCCCGGTGATGGGACCTGCTTCTCGGTGATGTCTAGCCCCCGTCTCTGAGCAGCCACGAGGAGCGGCAGCCCTAAGCTCCTGGCATTGGCAGGCGACTCTGTTTGCCTTCTGAGGATTCTGTTTTCCAGGGTTGCATCCTTCCCTTCTCCCAATGGCCCCCACCGGAGGGTTTCTAGCCCTCCATCTTGTGGGTCTCGTCCAGTTTTCTGGAGTTGGACTCGATACACAGTGCCTCGTCCTGGGCCGATGTGTCCAAATTCAGCCCCACGCAATGGCGTCCGGTGACTCCACGGCTTAGATGCAGTTCACAGGCAGTGTGCCGGGATGCCCGGGCCTCACGGGAGGTGAAAGCTGTTGAGAAGGAGTGAAGTGTGTTGGACACCACTTGCCACCTGAGTTCACAGTGTCAATACCGGGTCCTGCTATATTCTTGGCAATGGTGTCATTTAGCCAAGCTGGGTTGGTTTGTTTTTGAAATAACGTTAATTTTTATTTCAATATACATGCTTTTTAAAACCTCTTAGGCCATAAATACTTACTAAGTTGTTAGGATTTAACTACTTAGTAAATGGAATTGTTAGGCATTCCTCTTGACCTAAGATTACCATGAAAAAAAATCACTGAGCCATTAGGGGTACTGTGAACAAGAAATTTGGGGACCTCTGAGGTTAGTTGTCCTGATTTTGAGTCCAGGCTGTGTTCTAATCCTCACCATTTTGCAGGGAATGGGGGGAGCCTTGCTTAAGATTGCCTTCAAGGCCATTTCTCCTTGTAAAATTGCTTTTCTCTCCCTTGGGAAATGAGGGCCCTTCCTTGTCTCTGGGTCCCTGCCCCACCTGGGAGGGTCCTAGGCTGGTCTGTTCGAGTGGCTAGGGTGCCCTGTTGTCCCCCATCTCAGGCTTCCCTTCCCTCTCAGTGGGCTGCAACCCACCCTCTCCCTCTGGCTGGAGCCACGAGAGGGAAGCAGGATGTCCGCAGGGCCACCTTCTCTCTCATCTGCTACCACTCTGCACGCTGAGCCCCGCCTTGTCCTGGATCTTACTCGCGTGGATGGCCTGGATGTCTTTCTTGCTTTAACAGCAGCACTTTGTTCTGTGCATGCTCTTACTTTCTTCAACATGTCTCTGCACAGTTCTTCTCCCGACCACTGCCAGACTATGCCTTGTTTTGGCCGAGATGGCCTAGAGCCGGGTGGGGTCAGCCGGGGCTTGTAGTGTGGCTTCCCCTGCCTCCCACTCCGTGACCTCAGGTGAATCTGTTCCTCATCTGTGACTTGGGAGGTTCAGGATTCGTACCAGTTGTCCACAGAGGTCTCCAGCCCCTTGAAAGCTGGTTAAGGTAACCCCATGGTAATCCAGAGCCCCTCCAGTCTCCCCTGGGCTCCAAGGCGGCTGGCGTTCTCATGGTCACCTCTGCACGGCTGCTGCTCTGCCACTTCTCCACTTGGGTTGCTTTAACCTGCACGTGAGGCCCATCTTCAGCCCTGTGTTCCACAAAACGCCTCCCCTTGTTCCAATGCTCATACTCAAGGTTGGGGGTAGGTCACAGGAGGCAGTCATGTCAGTCAGTCATGTCATACCTGTTCCTGAAAGTCTCCTGTTCCCCAACCATAAAAAAGAGTAACAAGAGTGGCCCTCCTTGCTGCTCCTCAGGCCTGCGCTCCCTACAGCACTGCTCTCGAGCCCCAAGAGCTTTTGAGACTTTTCAGAGCACTTCAGTTTTGCTTCTGAACTTGTAAACCAGCCCCACTGAGCTGTTTCACGAACCCCCTCTCTGCTGACTACAGCCCCTTCTCAAGAGGCCATTGGCAGTTGCTTTTTACAACCGTATTTTCTTCATAGACCTTATGTAATGATGAAATGAAAATACTCCGGCCCCCTTGTACGTGGTTAACCCTCACACCGTTGCTGGTCCTGTGACTGCTGCTCTTATTTGTATTTTATTAAGCTCTTGACTTTTGTGTGATTCCCATTTTTTTAAAAAAAGCAACTGTAGTTGGATGTATTTATTTGTTCTGCTGCCACTATTTGAGTGACATTATAGCAATGATTCTCAAACCCAGGGTGGGACAAAGGGTCGTGCTGTCCTAAAGGGGCTTTTCAGGATCTTGAGAATGGAGTCTTTTTGGACGATAATTGAGAAAAATTACTATTGGGACCGTGGTGTGCTTGAGGGCACAAAGGAGACAGATAAAAAGGTCAGGGACCTTTATTCTGTGGGATCATTTTTAAAATTTCTGACAGTGGAAAAAAAAGACCTTTGAAATGTTTCTGTTTTTTAGATTCATAATATTGATTTCCTTTACTGCTGGCACAACTGTAGAAAACCTCTGCAGCTTTTCTTGCCACCAGCTTTTTACTGTGGATTATTGACAGAACCAGAACGATTTTCTTGCCGTCTGTTCTTAGCTGGACTCCAGCTGCAGCCAGCTACTCTTTCTGGAGCCTTTCTTTCTTGGCCTCCATTCAGCTATATTCCCAAGAGTAATTGGGGGTGTTTGCTAATCCCACAAGTCCCTTCTATCTCAAAGCATCCCATTCTGGTTGCCTCTCAACTGACTTAAATGTCGCTGATATTTATGTAGTGCGTTTTAGAGAATCATCAGTTGCTGACCCCGTTGCTGGTCTCTCCTTTGCTTATTTCAGAGAGTGCTCCTGTTCCGAAACATGGTTACCAAGGAGAAGGAGAAATTGGGGCTTGTGGAAACCAGCTCCGCCTCCCCCCATGTCACTCACATTACTATCCGCCGGTCCCGGATGTTGGAGGTGAGACGCCTGCCCCAACAAGGTGCGGCCTGCAACGTGTAGCATTGTCAGTGGGTGATCTGTTGCCTCTGAACTGTTCCTGTCTCTGCTTGATCTAATGACATGGGACATTAGATCTAATGACATCTAATGACATGATCTAATCTCTGGGAGCAGGAAAGGAAACAAGTGTTTCCCAAGAACTGTTGGATTTAGCATGTTCTCAATGCTGGGGGTCCACTGTAGAATCTCTCTTCTTTACCCCTCACCCCCCTGGGCTGGAGCTTCAAACAGCTTGTGCCTCTTTGAAATGAAGACAAGAACTGCCACATGCAGACATTCTTACATCAGTGCAGACTCCAATTGTCCCAGCAGGCACTTTGCCCAGCCCCAACTGTGAATGTGGAGGCTGGAGGGGAGGTGTTGAGTTTACTGAGCCATATTAGGAAACAGTTAGCACAGAGCTGTAAGTCCTATGTAGCCATATACTCCTGCGATACGGTCAAGTGGCCTACCTTAGTGAAAGCCAGTGTCCAGGATCAAAATATAAGTAGAAACAGGTGCCTATCTTCAGAACACTTGACCACCATGTGACAGAAGATTGTTGCAATGTATTGATTTTGTTGAACCTGCGGGAACACTGTCCTAATAAATTCACACCCTCACAGTGTCTGCATTGTATGGTCACACGTTCCTCCAGGGTCGTGCAGTGCACAGCCTGCCTGTGTGTGCCAGCCCTGCCCGCGGTGGAGTTGGTGATTGAGCCCCAAGTTCCCTGGAGAGGTTTGACCTGATTTGCCTGGGCTAGTTCTTTAGACCTTTCCTCACACTCTACCACAGTTCCTCATTAGCACCTTTTGCAGTGTGGGGCAGTCACGGGATCCTGGACAGACTTGGCCACATTGCTAGCTACCAGCAAAGAGCAAAGGCAGCCACTCTTCCTCCCCACTCATTTTCCTTTTCTTCCTTGGAGCAGTCACACTCCTTCTAGGAGAGCTCCTTTCTGTCCCCTGCCCACTGGTGATTGGCATCGAGCTCCCCCAGGGAAAGCAGCCCGTGGTAAACATGATATGTTTGGCATTCTTCAAAGCAGAGAATAAGAAGTTAAGTGCAGGGACCTTGCAGGTCACAGGAATGAGTCAGGCTGGCTGAGTGTGTCTCGGTGCAGGGGCATCTGGTTTGCATGCCAACCAAATAGAAAATAGAAAGTCTTCGCTTTCTTTGGTTTCTCTCATTTTTCCTAAACAGAACCCTTGGTCTGAATAACTCAACAGACCCAACGCACAATGGGGTTGATAAAAAACAACTGACACCACGCCGCAGTTTAGGGGGTGCTTAGAGAGGAGTAGGCAAGTGATAATCCTATGCCCAATCCCCACCCTAAAGAGAGGCTCCTAGCTGGTTGCCTGTGGAGACTTGGCCCCATAATGCTCTGGTTTCTTGAGAGAAGCCCGAAGTCCAGGATATTGTGTGAAACCCCTAGATCTTTTATGCTGTGAGTTTTTGAAATTTCATGAAGTATCTAAAGGACAAAAAACATGTCTTCCCTCTGAATTAAACTCAGGGACCACCTGTTCGTAGCCTCTGCTTTTTCTCAAAGAAAGGGCCCAATTGTACTGCAGAAATTCCTTCCTCCTGCACCTTCCTCATCAGACCCATTGGCACCTCTCCTGTCCCTTAAAGTCCTCGGGTCTACCCTGCCCTCTCAGATGTGGCCAGCACTGGCAGGAAGAGTTTGGGTGCTAGAGATGGACGGTGTGTCCCCTGAGAGTGAAGTCTCCCCAACTCCCTCCTCGAGGGCCATTGTTTAGGAGAAATTGCTTGACATCCTGTGGCCTGGTCTGCTTTTGTAAACACAGGGACATCAAAGGAGGGATGTCTGTCTGAAGCTTTAGACAAAGTCCATTTTCCTCTTTACTTCCCAATATCGTATATCTTGTCATGAAATTGACCGATGTGTTTAGATTGAGTTCCCAGACACCAGTTATTCTCATGCGCTGATAGATTGGTTATTAGAACGTGAGAGCTCAGTGGCCTTTGCTTGATCTGGACACAAGGGGGCATTGAAAGCTGGTATAAGACTCATAGGAGACCCTAGGCCTCCATTGTGTTATCTTTTCTTGTGGTTCTGTTATAGGTGGTGCATCTGTGCTAGGCTTCCAAGTGTTAGTCTCAAGACCTGCAGGAAGGCTGCTTCTCACAGAGCAGATGGCATATTGGAGCTGGAACACTAACATTTCAGAACTAGAAGGAAACAGTTGTCCAGCCCTTTCCCTCACAGAACTCAAGCCAGAGAATTCAAATTCTCAAGGTCAAGGTCACTCAGGTATCAGAGAGAGACCCAACCTGGGAGTTGATGCTTCGGTGCCCAGGTCACTGAGATCAGTAGGAAGGAGTGATGCCCACCCCTACTCACGTTCCCAGGGGCACAGGTAGAATCTCTGTGTGTAGCACTGGTGCCAAGGGCACTAGGTGCAGCAGGGTCTGTGTCAGGGGAGGCAGGTGGGAATTCCTCTGCAGTTTTTCAAAGAGGTGGCTGATGGGCTAATGCAGCAAAATAGTGACTGGAGTCTGGCAAGCGTTGTTTGCGCCCCTCCCCTGAGCTTGCCCAGTGCTTCCGCATAGACCATCTCCTCTAATCTCAATAGTCACAAACTCGCTCGCGTCCATTAAGGTGAGGGGCATCACTCTAGAGCAGAACGGAGGAAATGCTGCAGCAGGAATGTGTTAGAATTCACCTGTCCTTGAGTCAGTGCAAGGTAATCATCTTAAATTTAAGCAGAATGATTCAAGTGCTGTAGCATCTGCGTGGTCTGTTTTCTTCTCTTTTCGTCTAATGGTTCTCAAAATCTATGTGCATAACAAGTGTTTCAGAATTGCATTCCAAGCCGTTTCCTGTTCCTTTAGTGACTTAGGGCACTTCAGAGGTAGTTTTTTCCTTGCATGCTAACTTTGGAGCCTGGCCCCTACCTACATAAGATTAAGAGCCACCATAGGACAGTCTTTTGAATCACTGGGTGAGTGGAGAAGCGTGACTTTCGGGAAGGCAGCGTGGGCTCCCCAAAGACAGGTCTTGTCATACTGGCCTTGTCTGCTTTGTGACAGGGCCCAGACTGGCAGATGAGGGGATGCTGTGGGGACAGTCCATCTCAGGGTCACCAAAGGTTGAACAGCTCTGCACTTGGGACTGAGCGGGAGAAATCTAGGGTGGCCTTGAAATTGCAGTAGACTTGCAACTTAGTGGTGCTATGCAAAGACATCGATTTCCCTCTGGCGAGAGGCCTCAGGTTGTGCCCTGCCCTGTCCCACGCTCAAAAATGAAACCCTAAGCAGCCTGCTTATGAGCCCCTGTACATGCCAAGAACACATTAGGTAACAGACTCAGGAGCCAGGAAGCCCCCAACCGATTAGAATCGAGACACACTGAACAAGACGAGTTAGTCGGGGAACTCTTACGCAGCGCCCTAGCGTCCTGGTTGGGAGAAACTGACTGCGTGTCTGGAGAGAGCTGACTATGAGCCAGAGGAGCAAGAAGAACCCTCAGGCTTTTGCCTCCCTGCTCCTGCCCTCACCCAGACCCCAGATGGCTACTGCCCCCTCCATTTCCCTGCTTGTGACCCCGGCCCCTCCACCCATGTGCTCTGCTGCCAAGAGAAGTGTTTCCCAAGACAGCCAGCCACGATGCCCCTGCAAAGACACTTCTGGGGCTCCCGTCACCCTCAGCATAGTACGTGAACTCCTCAGCTTGGTCACAAGGCCTTTCCTGATCTGTGGAAAGGAGCCGAGGGCTGGAGAGAATTTTGATTTCTCATCTTACAGCCATCCACAGGTTTGATTGATTCATTGGCTGTTTTTCTCTTCTTATCATAAGCTAAAGGATATTCTTAGCATTACAAAGAAGCGAGGAGACCCTGTCCCAGGTCCTCCCAGGGCGCTCGTCAGGACTCCTTGGCTAATTTCCCCCACCTCACGGCTTTGCGTCCTCTTGAGGGCAGTGTCCCCTCGCCAGAGAGCAGTAAAGTCACATCCCCAAATGCATTTTCCTTTCTCCAGGCTCTCACAGTGGGTGTGACCTGCTCTTCTTGTGCACCCCTGCTTCTCACCTTGCACCTTTACAGCCACATGGGGAAGGTGTCCCATTCTTGGGAGCCTTATGGGGGAACCCTGAGTCTTGAAAAGGCCTGGTGTCCCTAATGGGTTGTAATTGTGCCCTTTGCAGGACGGCTATGAGCAGCTTCGGCAGCTTTCCCAGCATGCCATGAAGGGCGTGATCCGTGTGAAATTTGTCAATGACCTCGGGGTGGACGAGGCAGGGATTGATCAAGATGGTGTTTTCAAGGAGTTCTTGGAAGAGATCATCAAGAGGGTGTTCGACCCCGCACTCAATCTGTTCAAGGTATTTAAGGGGAACAAGAGCAGGGTTGACAGCAGCTAAATTCAAAGTGACAAATGAGAAGTGAAGGACTAGGCGGGTTTGTTACAAGGTGTGTAACCCCCTGACGCTCCCCATCCTTTTGCCTTTCAGACAACCAGCGGGGACGAGAGGCTCTACCCCTCACCCACGTCCTATATCCATGAGAATTACCTGCAGCTCTTTGAGTTTGTGGGAAAGATGCTGGGGAAGGCGGTGTATGAGGTAGGCATGCTAAGGAGCATGGGACTGGGACAGAAAATAAAATGTTAAAAATAATGTGGGTTTCATACACATTTATGTGGCCAGGCCCAGCCTGTCCTGAGGCTAGAGTTGAGGAAATAAGAGCAGGAACCAAGATTTACCAGACCTAGTCCTCAGTGCTTTCCATGTGTTCGCTCTGATCCTCAGCGGTCCTGCGTGTGGCCGCTGACTCCCTGTTCACAGAGGATGAGAACTGAGGCTCCAGGAGTCACTAAGCCAAGTCTCGTCACTAGTTCAGGATGGAACCTGAATTCAGAGCCAGGCGGCCCTGAGCCCTAAGCCAGCCCTCTGCTTCTCTGAGTGGGGAGGGGTGGTTGGCCAGAGCCAGGTCTCACGTGGAAGCTTCATCCCAGCCATGGGGGGCAGCATTTTGTGGGGCTTGATAGTTGTTAGAGTCATTCTAAAATATCATGATTTGAGTGAGTCCGTATCACAGTGAGCCAGAGGCACCTGGAGCTGCCGGGAGACTAGAAACCATCTGCTGGCAGACTGGTCAGCCCAGCCCCATGCGGCAACTCTCTTCCTTACGCACCTCTTCCCTGCGGGGCTGGCCTTGGTCACTGGGGCTGGTGGGAGCTGCCATCCTCACTGTGAAGAGGATGGTTATCTTCCACCTTGGTCTCTGGGGTCAGGGGTCTTGGGAGGTCAGGAGGGCGTGGGCTCTTGCAGGCTCCTGGCAGGCCCACAGAGCTCCTGACCCCTCTCCATCGAGAGGCCAGCGTCCTCCGGGCAGCATCTGCTTTCCACCCTGAGCATCGGAAGTCTAGCGCAGCACAAGCTTGTCAGTCTCTGCGCCCCTCTCAGTAGGCTCTGTAGCTCCTCGCCCAGCACCGAGGCAATGGCACCTTGGCAGCACTCATTCACACCCATCATAAACCCCAGAGAAGCCAGGATGCCTTCCAAACACAGAGAGCCAACAGCCAGGGCACGTTGAGTGGTCACCTAGTGGCGCAAGCATATTTTGACTCTTAAATAATCCATCCTTCTTCCCTGGAACATCCGGGCCCAGCTTAGTCCCCGCCCAAATACCCTCTGGCCTTCTGCCTTGGGCAACTTGGGTGGCCTGGGTTTATTCTCTGCCTTTGTTTCAGTACCTACAAAATAGAAGCAGTTTCTCAGGTGATTCATGTGGCATATGCCATGTTTTTCCTGTAGATGTGTAGCTGGATGATACCCAGAAGAGTCTGAACCAGCTGACAAGCATGACTTCCTGGCTTTCGAGAATGTCCTCATTTCCTGGGCCTAGTACCTGTCACCTCACTCCAGTAGTAGTGCTGCAGGCGAGAGAACTGAGGCCACACCAGCTGTGTGCGGGGAGTGGCTGTGTTAGTGCAGTTGCCCCTCATGGTCCTCTGTGCCAGTGTGATTGAGTCTTCCTTCTAGATTTCTCTGGCCCTCACGCTTCCTTCCATCCATCCCATCGCTGCCCTAGTGCAGCCTGTTTTCCTGGCATGACACCACGGCTCTCTAGCTGCGTCCTGCCTCCTGTCTTCCACCCAGAAAGTACAAATCTGGCACTTCTTGCTTGGAGCCCCCCCTGCTGCTCCCAGGAGAGACTGCAGACAGTTGCAAGGCCCTGCCTCTCTGGCCTTATCACTCCCCTCTCCTCCCTCACCAGGGTGCTGTAGCCAGACAGATGGCTGTTCCATTCCTGGGGCAGGCCCGAGGCCTCATGCTCCTTTGGGTGTAGCTTAGCTGTCTCTTCCTCCTGGATGTTTCTCTACCCTATCCTGGGTGAGCGGCCCCCACTGCGCATTCAGTCCTACTGGCTGAGAGGTTGTGCTGTCCACATTTACAATGAGGCAGCCCCTGTCCTGGGGCCTGGCAGCTGCAGAGCTGGGCTTAGACCCATGAGCTCTGTATCTCCAGAGCCTGTGCGCATGGCCACCATGCTGGGATGGCACCCAGTGGTGTTTATTATGTGATGGGGAGGTATCACACTCCAGATTGAGAATTTGGGAAGTGCCTAGAGATTCCTGTGGCACGCACAGCAGGAGGGGCCTCTGCAGCCAGAGCTGCCCCATGAGCCCTGGGTGGCAGAATGGCAGACTTCGTCTTTCTACCTCCCAGGGCATTGTGGTAGATGTGCCCTTCGCCTCCTTCTTCCTGAGCCAGCTGCTCGGGCACCACCACAGTATCTTCTACAGCTCTGTGGATGAACTGCCTTCTCTGGACTCAGAGTTCTATAAGAACCTCACTTCCATTAAGGTCAGTGTGGAAACAGGGAGGGCACAGGGAGGCAGTGGAGGAAGGCCGGGCGGGTACCTGTCGGGTGGTGGAGTTGTATCCTCTGCCGTGGTAAAGGCAGTTCCGCAGCCACTGCAAGCCACACGCCACTCCCGGGCACTCCCTTTTGTCTGTGGCGCCTCCCTCCTGAGGTGACATTGGCCTTAGCTTTGCTTCAAGTTCTATGGCAGCCATAGTGCTGCTGCCCAAGTAGCGCCTCATCGAAGTGGAGTTTAGTTCAAGGATATTGCGCCTCTGCACCCCAACACTTTCCCCTTCTCTGTTGCATTAGCGCTATGACGGGGACATTGCCGACCTGGGCCTGACACTGTCGTACGATGAGGATGTCATGGGTCAGGTAGGTCGCCTCTGGCTGAGCTTTTTGTCCTCTCCCTCAATTGGCTTTCTGACACCTGCCCTCTTATTGGTGTTTTCCCCAGCAGGTCCACAAACTGGGGTTCTATCTGCCTGTCTGGCCTCTCCCCTCTGTCTCTCTTACCATCCCCCTTCTCCTGTGGCCCCTTCCATCCCCAGTTGACCTGACCTTCACTTGCCCACCGCCCAGAGGCTTCCCACAGAGACCCTGCTCTGCTTAGATGCAGGGACATTCCCAGGGAGGCGCTGATGCCCTGTTTATTATAACATTGCTTTCGTTACCATGGTGAGGATTAGCTGTTACAGAGGATTATGACTTAAAGAGGGGGAAGAGGCCTCCCAGAAGGACCTCAAACAGAGTTCTGTTCTTGTCTGTACTCTTCATAAAGAGCAGAGCAGGAAGTTGAATCCCTGGAAACCACGGCAACTGAGGCATCTCTCTTAAGTGTAGTGGGCCCAGCTGCGTGCTGGGGCTCCTGCTTGAGCCTCTGCACACGTGGCCTGAGGGCTGCTCTGGAGAAACCCTGCCTTGAGCTTCCTAGTGCACAGCTGTCTTCTCAGACGGTTGCCCGTGTCACCTCAAAGAGGTCCCTCAGTCCCCCTGAATCCTTATGTCAAAAAAGTCCAGGGGACTGAATATGAGTCTTTGATGGGACCAGTGTCACCACACACCCCAAAAACACCTTTTGGAACCTGTGTGCCCCTCCCTCCCAAAAAGCCACCCGGCACACTAGTATACCAGCGCGGAGAAGCCTGGGAGCAAGAAACCTTAGCGTAGTTGCATTGACCTCCGCTTTCACGGATGCCTGTGATCACAGAACGCTTCTGGCAGGGAAAGAACGAGTGCCACCTCACAAGTGATCCTCCACGTGTAGCATTCAGACAGGTGCTGAGCCCAGTGTGGGAAACACCAGGCTGGGGGACTCCTGAGGGCCCTCCTGCTTCCAGAGCCTCTGGTGTGCCCTGAGACGGTGGCGGCAGGGGACCCCGGGTCACCGTTTTCCTTGCTACATATTTATAGTTTTTGTATATTATAGTAATAGAACCTCTGTTGAAATAAGCTTATAAGTTTGCACTCTTTGATAGTTAGGTAACTCACATTTGTTCTTGGAGCTGAGGAAAAGTCAGTTCTATAGTTTTCAAATATCACTAAAGATATTTGAAATTTTGATTTGAGCCTTACTCCTGACAGCCATAATTTTCACTCTTAACTATAAAAATAATGCAGACTCCTGACCAAAAATTCAGCTATTATACGGGCATAAAGATGAAAATTCAAACCACCTAAAGTAAAGACAAATATGGGGTGATCTCACCTGTATGTGCTATATCAGGAAACAAGATGGATGAATAGACTAACAAAATGAGAATAAACTAGTGGACATGGGTGACTGAAGTGAGGGTGCCATAGGCGAGGCGGGGGTGGGCACCTTTTGTTGTGTGTGGGGGGGGGTTTGTTTTTTGTTTTTTTTTTTAATAAAGTTTCCTCATGCTGCATCGGGGCAGCCGAAGCCTTGAGCTTCTCTCTTATTGACTCGCCACAACAGGGGAAGGGGGGCTTATTAGCTTCAAAGGGCACCTAGTAGGTAGGGCTCCAGGCCCTACCAAGGCCCTGTTCCTTGTTGAATCCCTTGTAGCCACACTGCCTGCGCCGGCCCGCACGTGGCACATCACCAGGGAAGGGCGATGTCCTGGCGCCCCAGGATGGGCCTCAGTGGGGAAAACAAAGAAGAAAACCATCTATAATGCCAGTGTCAGGCCTGTGGCCTTCCAGAACCAGCCCACCCTCCCCCCCTCACTCCCCCCCACACAAGGCCCAGTATAATTTGTTTTTGCAGGTATGGTACTACATGGTACATACTGTTATGTCTTATTTTTTTTTTTAATCTTCTCAAGAAGTGTACATTTCCATCATATTTTTTAATAGCTACACATTCCAGAGCACGGTTGTACTAAACTTTATTTAGCCATCATACTTCGTGTGCTCCTAAAGGCTAACATGTCCCCCCCTCTTAACCACCCTCCCCCCGCCTCCCCCATGACAGCCCGAAGCCATGGTACAAACGTTTGAACGAGGATGGGATGAGGCGCAATCTTTCAGATTGACCTTGCAGGGTCGCTTGTTGATAATTCAAGCAAGTCCTGGCTTTTTGTGAAAATGGTTGTTTCCAAATACTCCCCATCTCAATTCAGTTATTATCATGGACGTTGGCGCCGGTCCCTTTCATCTTCAGGAAGCTTTATTTCCCTGTTAGAATTCTCTGGAGTAATTGCTCCTGTCTTCTCTCCCAGCTTGTTTGCCATGAACTGATTCCTGGAGGGAAGACCATTCCTGTTACAAATGAAAATAAGTGAGTATAGCAATTAGATTTTTAAGGTCACCACTTGAAAAGACTTCATTCTGGCTCTCCGGGCTTACTTTGAGAATTTATTAAGATAGATTGAAGTAGAACGAGGCCATAAATATCATAATGGAATTTACTGGTTACAGTTCATAGGCTGAAATCCTATTAAATTCGATTTGCAAAATAAGAATGGACAATTTATTTTTTGCAGTAGCTCTTCTAAGGTCAGAGGCACCCAGGCCTCAGTGTTCCTAGGAATTTAATGATGCCTCTGGATGCAGACAGCTGGATCTTCAGACGCTCAGGCATGCAGCCCTGAACCCAGAGGGCACGGGGGCGGAAAGACGCCTTGGAGAGGCAGGTCATTTTAGAATGATAGCATGTGGCAGTTGTATAAAACGCTGTTCTTGAGGAGACGCAGTGATGAATTCAGATGCAGCAGAGGACCTGAGATACGGGAGATGCTACAGCTGGCAGCTATTGTCCCAGCTAACTGGCTTCTAGGTGCCTATCCTAAATGTCAACCTCTTTGGTCTCTAAAAGCAAAACCCCTCAATGCACCTGTCTCCACCTAGCCCTGTTCCAACCTAATGAAAACAGTAGAAATGGGCACGAGAAGTTAATGTCGGCCCTCCTCAGCCCTCCCATCAGTCTATCCATCTGCTGCCAGGCTCAGCTGAGCATCGCTTTTTTCAGACAAGTGAGAGCCCAGTCCCACTTGGTGAGTCATTTGAATCAGAATCACGTTATGTGCACTGTTCCGAGCATCAGGGCCCTCTGGGGTCGGGTGGGCGGTCTGAATGCTCTGGGGACTTTGATTTAGACTGTCAGAGCAGTCAGAAGAACAGACCCTGTTCTTAGCGTGATTGAAACAGACCAGCTTTGCCTTTGGTCACAGGGCATTAGTTTGACAGCTGAGGAAGAACAGAGTACCAGGCAGGCGGGCCTGCCTGGGCATCAGAGAGCAGGACCGGATACTTGTCCTGCCCACCATGTGCCCATTAATCTTCTTTTCAGAGTCCTCACATGAGTTAACAGGTGTAAAAGACCTTCCAGGATGACTCCCTCCTAGGAGGGGCTTAATAAATAGAGCAGTGATCATCACCATCATCAGATCAATAGGTGACATGTCACATAAAGGCAGCCGCCTCTAGATCGGTCCCTTTTGGCCAGTGGTATGGCAGTGGGGTGATATTGCTAGATGGATGGCAGCCAGAGGAAGCGAGTTGGTGAGGTGTGATTCCCGTCCTGCCCCGCAGCCTTCTGGGTGGAAAGTCACTTTGCAAATTCTTGCATGTTCTGAGCATAAATCCTCAGGATGAGGACAAAGGTGTTTCATTCTGCAGACTATCTCAAAAGGCAGACAACACATTTCCCACCCCTTAGGGGTGACACTTGATGTTGTACTTCCTGGGTGTGGGATGGGAAGGTTTCAGGATCCTCCCTTGGTGAAATGGAACAGTGTTAGTACCCTGCTTCAGAGCACATGAAAGGAGTCGCCATCACAGGAAAGTTTATATTTCAGTGTAATGTGCAAATTCACTGCTGGATAATTTTTTTTTAATAGGGTTATTTTCAAGGTCAGTAATCTAGATCTCAGCTCTGTGGGGTAAAAAGATTTATTTGGACTGTACTCATTGGAAATTTTGAGAGTTGTGCCTGGGCTGGCCTCAGATTCTTTCATCTCTAAGTAAATGGTTTGCCAAGAAATCAGCAATGCCAACAAGCCTGCTGGAAAGAATTATATTATCTAGTTGTAGATGAGGCCATTGGGCTTGGAACCACTGTCAGTGCTCTGACTGCCCAGTTGAACCTCAGCACAGGCTGACCACATCTACCCTCCTCACAGCCTCGACGCAGCCAGATTAACAAGGCTTTTTTGAAGTTTCAGCATGAAACAATTTTCCTCTGCTTTCAGGCTTTTTGGAAGCCTGGATTATATCTAATTGGTTTATGTCCAAAAGGATTATATTAAAGTCAAGAAAAGTACCATTTGTGCTGAAAAGGCCCTTTCACTGTGAGTCTTGCCACAGTGAGGGGTCATGTGAGTGAAGCGGGTGGGGGGTGGCCCTCACACCGCCCTGCTGTGGGCTCTCCGTGTGCTGCTCCAGAGCACGTTGACGCTGTTCTGGGGAACTGCTGTGCTACTGTTGGTGTTGCTGCAGGACGGCTCAGCTGTGACTGGACTCATCTTTCAGCCCGTTGGTAACAGCTGCCTGGTCCTGCTAATTTCCACTGTTTTGTCTTGTGGGCAACAGAATTAGCTACATCCACCTGATGGCACATTTTCGAATGCACACACAAATAAAAAACCAGACAGCGGCCCTCATTAGTGGATTCCGTTCCATCATCAAACCCGAGTGGACCCGAATGTTCTCAACCCCTGAGCTACAGCGTCTCATCTCCGGTGACAATGCTGAGATTGATCTGGAAGATTTAAAGTAAGGGGGCAAGTGATGGGGGAGGGTGAAACTCTCGGGCCCCTAGGAACTTGCTGCTCCCCACTGGGATCCTTTTGGAGGGTTGTTCCGGGAGCCTGTCTCCAAAGGTACTGCTCCCTCCTACGGTTGCTCTGAAACAAAAACTCCCTTGTCTACTGAGAACCTGAGGAGAGGAAGCAGGTCCTAAGGACTGATGGGCTCTCGCAGGTTCTAGGAGGTGATATTGTAGCATCTCCTACTGGCTCCTGTGTGGGAACAGTAGGGCCAGCTCTCACACTCTCTACCTGGGAACTTCCAGAGAGATGGGGCTAAGGCATGAGCCAGTTTTAAGGGCACTTGGTCACGCACCCAGGCTTGCCAGAGTTCGCTGAGCCACTTCTCTGAAACGCCCTGCCTGGAAGTGCATGTCAGCATAAGCGGCTGAGCCCTCATCTGGATTCTTTGCAGGAAGCACACAGTATACTACGGTGGTTTCCATGGAAGTCACAGGGTCATTATCTGGCTCTGGGATATTCTGGCCTCTGACTTCACGCCCAACGAGAGAGCCATGTTTCTGAAGGTACTTTGTATTTTCCATCATCAATCTGTCCTCCCTCAGGCAGGCCTACCCGGTAGCTTGGTGTTGTAAATAGCAGGTCCCTAAAACCCCTAGAGAAGGGAGAGCATTTTAATGTGTGGGATTAAAGTCAGTGGTTTCTGAGGACTTCCCCGTGCATGCAAATCACTTAGATTTGAGGGGGCGACAGATGCCAGGCATAGGTTAGCACATTTGGGGAAAAAACACAGGTGCTGCCATCTGAAAGGTGTCAGGAGGGCAGTGTGACTGATGCCCCCGGGCCCCTTGCTTGGCCCCCAGCCTTGCCATCTCCTGAGGCCTGATTTTTGTCAGCGTGCTGAGAGCAGGTTTCTCAGAGAGGGTCCCCTGAAGCCATGCTCGCAGATCCCTCTGTAAAACCCACAGCCGGGGTGCTCAGGCGAGCAGGCCTGCGCCTCCTTTCCTGTGTGGCTGGGAAGTGGAGCCGGAGGCCAGGTGCAGTGAAGGTGAGTGTGAAGGGTGACTTGCTTCTCATCCAGGGCCTCAACTCATGGGCACAGCCCTGTCTCCCGAGCAGCACCAGGTCTGCCTCACCCTCTCCTCTCCGCGCTCTGGTGCACGGTCTCTGTAGGAACGGTGTCAGCAGCAGCTCCAGTTCCTATTGCCTGCATAACAGTCCCCTTTGGGGCCAGCCCCCAGGTTGGAAGTCTGTGTTTCTCCTGAGCTCTTCAGCCACATGGACTCTCCAGCACCTGTCTTGATCCCCACAAATGACCTGTCGTGTCCACTGCTGTGGATTTCATGAGATTTTGCTTTGGAGTCCAGCTCCCTGAAGAGAGATGTGAGATACATTCCAGTTCTTGGGCTAAATGCACCCACCATCACCCATCCTGCTAGCAGAACAGCAGTTAATGACACAGTGACTAGACAGCAAAAATGTTTCTGAGGGAGCGAGAGCCCCACTCTGCCCTCGACCCTGCTTTGTGTTGCAGTTTGTCACCAGCTGCTCCAGGCCCCCGCTCCTGGGATTTGCCTACCTCAAGCCTCCTTTCTCCATCCGCTGTGTCGAAGTGTCAGATGATCAGGTACTTGACCCTGCTTGGCCGTTGCTGCTGTGCCCAGGGGGGTGGGGTCAAAGAAGAAATGTTAGGCTGTTTTCAGAAATGTTTTGGTACCTAAAATATTTTTACAGTATCTTGGCTCTTTGAAAACTGGTTAACAGGTAATTAGCTGTTAACCAGAAGGCTCCATTTCCAAGCATTTAATACAGATGCCCCGTGGGTCCCAAGGAGCTGGGTGTCTCTGGACACTTGCCTGTCAGCATCACTGCCCGCAGTTTAAGGGGCTGGCCCTGGGCAGCAGTGCACGTTCCTACACCAGCTTCCTGGAAGCACCCCGTGCCCAGCTCAGCACCGTGGGCTGCCCAGCCCTCATCCCCAGCCACTGCACTGGCACCTGCCCAGGCCCCCACCCTGGAGCCTCCCCAGCCCGTGTGTGTTGCAGGACACTGGGGACACCCTGGGCAGCGTGCTCCGGGGCTTCTTCACCATCCGCAAGCGGGAGCCGGGCGGCCGCCTGCCCACCTCCTCCACCTGCTTCAACCTGCTCAAGCTGCCCAACTACAGCAAGAAGAGCGTCCTCCGGGAGAAGCTGCGCTACGCCATCAGCATGAACACCGGCTTCGAGCTCTCCTAGCTCCCACCCTGCCCGCCTGCCTGGCAGACCCAAGGGCCACCTGCAACCTTCAGCTCCAGGCAGCAGCACGCCCCTGGGAACATGACCCACAAGCAGGTGACCTCGGCGCCAGGTCCTCTCTATAGCCATGAGACTCCCCTGTGGCCTCAGGATCTTTGGATGCTCTGACAGCTCTACACAGCCTTCTCCAGGTGACACTAACGGGAGGGAGTGTTGAAAATAAACCTCCAGATTCTGCCAGCGCTGGTCCTTTGTTCCTACTTCCAGCGGCCTGAAGCCCAGGCAGGCCCGTGATTGCAAAGGAGTTTCACTTTCTGAAAAAAAAGTGGTCTTTTGTGAGTCTTTGTTTTTTTGACTTTCTGAGTGAGCTGTGCATGAACAAGTCCCAGAACTCCAGGGGTCCAGAGTGGTTTTCATACATGGATGGGCCTGAGTGCACGAAGTTACCACGCAGAGGCGCTCTCCTTCCGTTTCTGAACACTCTTTACTCAGGTAAGGCCTGGCCAAGCCTCTATGCACCCGACGAAGTCTCTGTCTCCGTCCCTCCACAAAACCTCTTGGCAGGCAGCCTGGCCTGCCGGCTCCCCAGGGAAGCAGAGGTGCCACTGGGGAGGCCGGAGGACTCGCAGGCCCATCTCGAAGCCACACATTCCACATGGCGCCAGTCCCTCTTCCCCACTCTCTCAGATGCTCTGAGACCTCAGCAGGCCAAGCTGCCAGGGAGCCTCCACTGGCTTGTTCGGTCTTAGGCATTCACCTTGGCTTCCTGAGTTTGAAGGAATACCTGTTGGTCCTTAAGAGCAACTCCGTTTCCACAACGCACTGGCTGTTACCACAGCCTGCTGATTCCGAAGCGGCCAGCAGCCTTTCCTGCTTGCGTGCCTGCTTGGTATCTAGCAAGGAACAAACACTAGCCTGAGGCACCCGTCCCAGCCAGGCAGCAGTTTTACTCCATAGACTGTAAAACCTCAAGACTCTTCAGTCTTGCCGCCCGTCCCCCTCTGCCCGGCAAGCAGGTGGCCTTTGCACTGATGGCGGCTTACCAAGCCGGGGGAGTCACATGCCCTTTGGGTGGCTTGGTCCTTTTTACTTTGGTTTCTCTTCCAACTCCTTGTACTCCCCTACCCTCTTCGGTTCCTCGAAGCTCTCTCCTGAACGCCGTGCGTGCACAGAGCAGGTTTCTAAGTCTTGCCGGGGCCTCACATAACCATCTACCCACACAAAGAAGCCCAGTCCCATCTTGATTTTTATTACCCGAGAAGCAGCCGGTATGGGAGGGAGAGAGCAGTTTCTCAGCACCAATATCAACTTTATTTGGGCTTTTTTGTAACAAAGAGGGTAGTTTGTAATTTCATTTAAATTCTTTTCAATAGCTGGAATTATTGCACTATCTAAAACACTGAATCTGTATTTTTATAGCTGGTGTTCGACACCTCGATGGCTCTTGATGGCTCTAAAAAGTTGTGGGTTTGTTTGTTTCATAGATAACTTATGTTTAAACGTGATCAAAAGCTTTATTAAATTTGTATTTCAGCACATGATGGCTGTGTTCTGCGTTTTATCCTCCGAACACGTGCCCAGCTAGCTCAAGAGGGGGCGCCTGGGGCATAGGCCCCCACAGTGGGAAGACAGGATCGTGAATTCCAAGTCTCGCTCGCTGGCCAGAGTAAACAGTGGTTGACAGTTTGTCAGATTTGCGCAGCCTCTTTAAGAAGTGACACACTTCATATAACATGGAAGTCACCCTACACACCACCCATGCCTCGTCCTCTCACCCGCTTCCTGGAGGGCAGCCATCGCCCCAGATTACCTGTTCACACAAATGCGTAAAAGTGATAGATATCTGTGGGGAAAAATCCACATCATCCCAGAGTGCGTGAAGTCAAATCTGACAGCAACATCTGGGTACACTGGGCCTTTCTCCCTGACTGAGGAGCCTGCCTGCAGGACCCAGAGCCCACCCTTACTCCATGAGACAAGCCAGCCCCACACTCAGCAGAGAACCTGTGTCAAACCTCCTGGGAGTTCTGCCTCCTCCCCAGGCCAGGCCTCTAGTGCCACCCACCTGGCTTGAACCAGGGATTCAGGAAAGAGGTCTCAAGAGCTAGTAAAGCTCGCAGAAGCTGAGGATGGACTTCAGAGTCACACTGACCAGGTCCCAGTGCTACCCTTGGTGCTCTGACAACTCATGTAATCGAAAGCCCCTCAGAACCTTCCTGTCCTGCCTGGCAGATGGGCCAATTACATTTCCGGAGCCCAAGGTCCCTGCGTGGATTAAACGTGACTTTTTATGCACAGGGCTGAGCACAGTGCTTGGGCCTGGGTGCAAGCTCAGGGGAGTTATTGACACCTCCACTCCTGCCTGTGGTCTGGCTGCTTCCTCTGCCCTGAAGGTCTTACTTCCTGTCTCCAATCTGAAACTCTCTTTCCAGGTAAAAAAGAAAAGAACACATTCTTTGTGGCCCCTCTCTCCCTAAATAGATGTGACCCCTCGCTTTTGACCCCAATACACTCTTTATCCCATTACCATCAAGGAGGAGGCTTGCAGAGGTGGCCAAGCTCCCATGGCCAGAGTGGCCAGGCTGGGCCTGGCACTCAATTCTGACCCTGTTCCCACCGCTGCCTCACTCTGCTTGTGGAGTAGTCGGGATAGGTATTCTTTTTTTTTTTTTTAAGAGGATAGGTATTCTTATCATGAGGGCTGTTGCGTTGATGAAGAAAGAATATTCTGGGCCTGTCTGCTGGCACAAGGATTAGTCTCAGTGCTATCATGCTATCACCAGCCACTGCAGCACAAGTTCAATCCCAGGCCAGCCAGAGAGCTGACCCATATGGCTCAGCAGACCTCTCCTGTCTCTCCCACTGCTCCCCTCAGCACTGTATGTCAGTAGATCCGCTTGTTCTGTTCCCCATTCTCTGGCGAATCCTCTCACCTCCCCTGCAACTCTGGCCTACACCCCAGCTCTTGTGTGCATAACTAAATAAATCTTAAAAAATAGAAGGTTCAGGGCCTCACCGGTGGCGCAGCAGTTGAGCGCTGGGCTGCGAAGCTGTCCACAGCTTCTGTAGTGCCGGTTTGATCCCCAGCCGGCCGGCAAGGGTCCCACGTGGCACGCAGACCTCTCCTGCCATGCCTGCTGCTCCCCTCAGCAGTGTATTTCGTCTGCCTGTTCTGCTCCCCACTCTGGCTCTGGTGGATTCTCTCACCCTCCCGCGCTTCTGACTGCACCTAGTACTTGTATAAAATAAATAAATAAATCTTTAAAAAAAAAATAGATGGTTCAGGGACTTGGAAACAGGCCAGTTTTTGATGCCAAGTTCAGGTTTGTTTTTTTTTTTTCCCCATCTGCCTGAATGCTGGGCATGTGCAGCATTGCCTGTCGTAACCCATGCTCACGCTGAGAGGGTCTGCAGGGGGAGCCGGCAGGAATGGGGTACCACGCGCCCTAGCCTGCCCTGCCGAATCAGGCTGTGCCTGTGACTCGTGTGCACACCCGTGTCTGGGGAGTGCTGGCGTGCTCTGCTCGTGTCTGTGGGGTCATCACCGCAGTATGTCTTCTGTGCCCGCCTAGTGGATGCTCATGCCGGGCTCTCGGCAGAGCCTATAAACTGACACACCCCAGACCCAAGCTCAGAACAGCCCACTGCCATATGCTGAGAAAACACCAAAGGAAGGTGCTGCTTGTCCCGGTTGTGAGAGGTTCATCTGCCAAAGTGAGGGTGCAGGGAAGCGCAGGGTGTGGGCAGGGCTGGGGCAAAGGAGCCCCCGCAAACCTGGGGCTGAAGCCCAGCGGAAGCGCCAGGGAATGTTCCGGTGTCAGTGGATGCCTCCTAGCAAGGAGTTTGAGAGCAAAGACAGCTCCAGAGAAGATGTGCATTGAGTGCCCGGAACACCAAAGAGACGGCAGTTCTCACAGTGTGAGTCACTCAGCGCCCTGGAGCCTGACGCAGGCTGGGGCACTTGGGCAAGGCTGCATGGTGGGCGCTGTGCCCCGGGCTGTGGAAGAGGAAACTGCAGCCCAGAGAGGCAGGGCCCGCGGCTCAGCCTCACAGCAGCAGAGCAGCAGAGCTGGGATGCGACTGGGTTCCTGCTACCCCAAAACCCATACTCTCTAGCGCCTCGATTTGATGCTTCCTTGGCTCAGGATCTCCTACCAGCTGCAATCTGTTGAGCACAAGCTCTCAACCAGTGTTAGTCACCAAAGTTGTGGAGAGAGGCAACTTCATGCTGACTCGGTTCCAAAGGCTGGAGAGAACTGGGGGTCCCACCTGGGCCCCAGATCTGCCGCCTCCATCGCCATGTAACAGAGTATGTGTGTGTGTGTGTCGGGGTATTTGCACAGAGTGGTGCCCCAGGGCCACACAAACCTAGAAACACCTCAGCCCCCCATCCTTCCGGTTGAAGAAATCTCTGCCACATCCTTTCCCCTCGGTGGCTGCCTGTGGGCGGTGGAGGGGAGGGCGTGTCCGGCCTGTCCCGCATCAGTTCCACAGTGGTCACGGAGTTCCCTCCGGACCATTCCTCACCCCCCTGCCGTCACTGTGGTAGCAGCAGGAGCTGCCCTGGAAGCTTGGCCAGGGCCCGAGCAACACGGCCCTGGGCAACCCCGTTTTCTTAAAGCCGAAGGTGAGGAAATGAAGCTAGAAGACTAACAGCTGAGGGCTGACTCAGTGCCAGGGCCGAGCCAGGCACCCCCACGCATTCCTTCCTTTCAGGGCCCTGGTGGCTGGGGCCGCAGGTGTGACCCGAGCCTGCAGAGCCTGGGTTTGCATCTCCCGGGGGCTCAGCCTCTGCGCCGCTGCTTGGGAAAGCGACTCTCCACAGCTCCTAGTGCGCCCATCAATTCAAGGTGTTTCGGCAAATAAGTTGGAGGGCTCAGGGGGTCCTGGCTTGACAGGGTCACGAGCTTCGAGGTGGCCTGCCGCCCCGTCTGTCATGTTTCCAGAAGCATGGTAAATGGACAGGACACGGAGAGGCGGTGGCTTTGCAGCTGGCAGGCAGGGGAGACCAGTGTTTCTCAAACGAATCCCACCTAACTATTCCTAGGCACTTGCAAGTCCTCAGTGTATTAAAATTGTCTTTATTTTAATGGTGTTTTTTAAAAACCCACTAGTTTGTGTTACAAAGACTTCATGTTTGCAATGGTAATGTCCCCCGGCAGACTTCCGCCAGGGAAGCAGGCATCACTCAGAGAGGAGGGAAGCCGGCTTCACGCTGGCAGCCCGGAGGAGCTGTCTCTCCAATGTCTGAGCCCCGAGCAACTAGGTTCCAGAGTATTTATTGACTAAAGCAAGGGGTACAGTCATCTGGGAATGCATTAATCAGGGTGCTTATCAGCTGCTCCCTAAAACTCTCAGTCTTCAGGCTAGGTCCCCACCAGCTAATCCACAGGTCAGCCCGACACTTTCCACTTCAGTAACTTGTCATTAAAAGCCAAAATGTCATGAATAAGACTTCAGTTTTTTAGGTGGGTTTGTCTCACCCTTGAGGCTACTAATACATTGGGGGGAGCTTGCAGAACCCTTTTTCCCTTCTTGTGTCAGGAAGTCTGGCATCCTCGATTCCTCCTGGGGGCCTGGGCTGCAAGGACTGGGCAGGGGTGGGTCTGTGCTGGGCATCCCTGTGGTGGGGGATCCAGGCAGGGTGGTCAGCCAAGATGGGCTATAGAAGTCATGGGGTACAGAGAGACAGAGGGAGCTGCAGGCAGGAGATCCTGAAGTTGGAAGCAATGGGAGGCCAGAGGTGGGAGTACCCGGTGACCCTTTGTCTCTTCATGATTTTGCCTGCACCTGTCTCACACTTCAGGCCCCATGAGCCTGCCCCCACAGGGGCTGGCCCCTGCAACTCTGAGACCCGCTCACGTCACCCCCAGGGACACTGTCCAGGGAAGAGAGCATCACACTCTGTGGGGCAGCAAGGGGCTGTGTGGATTCTGCCCTGCAGCCTGGATGACTTTGTCACAGCCATAGATAGTGCCAGATGGAGCTGGCAGGTGTCCCAACAAGGAGTCAGCCCAGGAAGTCAGACTGCCAGGGAGTTCAGACTCACGCCCACTCATCCAATAACGAGACACACAGGACCTACTTTGCTCCAGGCGAGGCTGGGTGCCAGCACCCTGCTCTACAGAGCTCTCAGCTGGGTGGGGAGAGGCGTAACCAACCCAAGGAGGAGGTATGTGAGCACATACCATGATCACCCACCCCCAGGGTCAGTGCCTCACTTGGGAGGCCCACATCACAGCTGTGGGGTGGGGGTGGGGGGACATGGTAAGCCCCAAGATGCAGACCCTAGTCTACCATACTCCAGAGCCTCACCTGGCTTGAGTGGGCATCAGAGGGCTGGGAGAGCATCCTAGACAAAGAGCCCAGCTTAAGCAAAGCCCCAGGGGCTGTTCCTTGCTTATCCGGAGCCTACTGCATAGTCCCATCTGCCTCCAGGGGCAGCCGGAAACAGAGTTACACCCACTTGGAAAATAAAGCCTGCTCTACCAAGGACCTTCTGAGGACCCAGCTCTCCTATCTCTCACGCAGAAGGAGGAGAGGTGACACTCTGCACAGCAACACTTCCCCCAGCTACAGGGCTCAAAGGCGGAGGTGGATTGTGAGTGAGCAAAAGGCCTCCTGTTAGATGAACACCCCACCCTAGACCTCCGGGTAGGGGGAGGCTACAGAAGTTTCCAGACCTCACCACTTCCCTAACTCAGCGCCAGGGCCGGCCCCTCTATAAAGTCAAAAATCGGAGGCACAGACCCAGGTGGACAAGACCAGGGTCGCTCCAGAAGAGGCTCCTGTGCATTGGAGAACATGTCCCATTCTGGGGGGGCAGTGTCTCAGCCCCCAAAACATCTTTTTTTAAAGATTTATTTATATTTATGCATACAAGAGCTGGGGTGCAGGCCAGAGGTGCCGGGGGGAGGGGTGAGAGGAATCACCAGAGACAGAGTGGGGAGCAGAACAGGCAGACTGACCTAAGTACACTGCTGAGGGGAGCAGCAGGTGAGACAGGAGAGGTCTGCTGCGCCATTGGGACAGCTCCCTAGCTGGGGACTGAACTCGTGCTGCAGTGGCTGTGGATAGCTTCACAGTGCTAAGACTTAACCCCTTGTGCCACCAGGGAGGCCCCCCTCAAAAACATCTTAATAACAATGGTGAACTTGGCTGTCATTCCACAGCAATGACCAGAGCTCCTTGGCCTTGGTTTGCTGTGACAGTGGCCTCGAGAACAAGCTGGGTGGCTTGGCCAGCAGGTGTTCAGACGGTACCACTGGAAGGGTGGAAACTCCTCACCTCCAAATTGCCAACGGCTGGCCTCCATCAGCCAGTGAGCAACAAAGTCAACTCTGCTTCATGCAGACAGAAAAGGAATTTCTTGGCAGGTG